CCGGCAATTGCATTTTTCTCATCCACCATACCACAATGAATTAAAAACCTTGGGAACAAAATCAACCCCGCGCTTAGTTCAAATGTTGTATTTGGTTATAAATGCTCATCGAGGTCCCTCAGTTATTCTTCCGTTATCAACTGAGCAAGACACGACGAGATAAAGGCGGCCGTCAGCAGTAGGTGTAACAGAAGGCGAACCGACAGGCGCGGCTCAGTACTGACAGAACCAACGATTTTTAGTGCGTGTCGGAAGTAACAGCTGTTGTAAGCCCAAGTTCACTTTGGACCAATTGAGTGACAGGACTTTTAGCAATCACGCGCTGGTTGTTCACTGTTGTCTAAATCACAAAGAAGCGTAACCGAATCTACAAAAATTCCAGTTTGGATATTTCAAGTTTTTGTGGCTACAAGTTCCGTCATCTGGTTTGCTGTTGAATACATTCAGCATTTTTTTGTATAGCTGTGCGACGCTTCAAAATGGTCCGTGTCATTACACGTGGGTTTCTCAAGTGGTTTCATTTTGTTGTTTACAAAAAGTAGGATATTCAACCCAAGGCAGCGGTTAGGAATATGTTACTGAGTTTGTAAAAAGGATGGTTTTTTGGACCGAAATATGAAGGTTGCTTTTCCCTGAGAATCCGCCTTAGTGTATATTTTTGACAATACAAGTACAACACTGAGTACCTCGCGTATTTGAGTGATGATCTGAGTAGAACATATCGTTCGTGTGCAAAATTGGCAATAAAATATCTTTCCTAGCCATTTGCTTACTGTTGTTGTTTAAAAGTCCTCATGACATACACCTCGCATAAACTTTACATGTTCGGTGTGGGATTGCAAAATAAATAGAAATTAATTAATTCCTCGTATAAACGAAAAACCGGTTATTTAAAAAGTAAAGAAGCAGTTCACCGTTGATCATCAACAGGTTGATTACGCGCTCCAGGTCAGCGGTCCCGCTTTTACATACACACAAGCTAGATCCTTTCGGTGTTTTCATAAATTCCCTTTCATCTAACAAGCAAACCAATGAATATCCGGAAAATTCGTTTGTCGCTTTGTCGCGCCGAAGATCCTACAATTTCTTTTGTTACATAACTCAGAAACGCACAAAAAGCAATTTATTTCGATTCACTTAATGTATTTTTAACAAAAATGAATGATTCCTCAAATAATTTGAATAATTCTCGCCCTTCACCAAGTATTTCTGAGTGTCTCAGTTTCCATATGCGCTTATCAAAAATGAAATTTTATTGCTCCGCTTACTGAACTCGTGTAAAAAGTTGAACTCACTCTCTTCTTTTACGAAAATCAATTGGCGTACGACATAATCCTAGAATACCGTCCTTTGATTTGAGCATTTTGTACTTTTCGGCAATGTGCATTAACGCCAAAAATTGAAAAAATAGGTTCCAACGTTTGATTCTTATCCGTTCTACTCACAGTCACTAAATACAAAGGCAAACTCTCGCGAATTCGTTTTGTAAGACCCAAAACGGTAACGCGGGTTGGTTTTATGTTACCTCAGAAAATTTCACTTAACGGATGGTGCTTTGGAAAAAGCAGTGCAGATAGTATCTTCCAAAAATGCACAGAAGATTCAGGGCCTAACTCAGAGACATACGTTAATAACAGCATCGAACAAAATTAGTCATATCTGGTCAGTACCAAAACCAGGAGGCGGACAGTTTGGTCAGTGGCCCAGAGACATTCATTTATTATTTATATCAGTGGAAGTTTGGAGCATGTCTAGACATACGAGCGTGTATTATTGCAGGCTAACTATATTAGTAGTCAAACATTTTAGTCTCTGTCGGAGCCTCTTTAACGTAGTTTTAACCTTAGTTGAAGTAATTACTTTTGTGAACAATGGCCAGTTTTTTAATATATTTTTGGCCGTTCCAGTGATGTTTCTGCTACAGCTTGTCTATAAAATGTTCTTAGAGTTATCATCAATCGGGAAAAGAAGTAGTTAAGTACCAGGGTACTTTTCATAGGGAACGGTTGCCTGTCTCCGTAGAGACATTCCTGCACAAACTGAAGAAGTACTTTTGTATATACGCGCTAGTTTGCTCAACCGTTAATACGGTTGGACTAAAAAAAATCAGTTGATGCGGTCCAAGCACTTCAATTGTTCACACTCTGACACTCCATATAATTTGTCACCAATAAAATACAGGACTCAACCAGTTAATAAAACTAGCCTACGGAAGAAGCATGATGTGTCATCTTTAACGGTGTGTGAGGTGGTTTTACGTACAATGATGCGCAAAAGCTGTGGACGGTGCAAAGTGGTTGAACATATTCAATCACACTTCTACGGAATGATTTTGATGCAAAGAACAAGTATTTTACTTTATTCTGTTGGACATCCACTTGAAATTCGCGGACGGCTAATTCATTTGACTGAGCTTTCTGTCTTACCTTGACATTGCCACAAGTGTTCACTAGTCTGAACTTTGTACTCAAAAGCAACTTATGTACACGAACTGCTCACTTAATAAGATATGCAAATAAAGTGATAAACTGACACTCATAAAATGAATTTTTGATCAGTCACAAACCGAATTTTATTCTGACAAACTGAGTTACATCATAATGATTTTATTATGTTCTATAAACGGATATAAGTCTAATGCGTAGTTATGTACGTTCCCTATTCTATCCTGGAGAAAGTATCCTATTGGGCTTACATCAAATCAGAGTTGCACTGATAGCAGTTTTATGCCTGTTGGAGCTTGCTAACATTGTATAGTTTTGGCCTTTCGGTAGTTTGAACTCCGGATACTTGACACGCGAGGCGAGTGTGTTGACACTACTCCACGAGCGCATGCTACCCTGCTTCACTGCTACACTGCGCTTCGTTCACACGTCAGAACCGAAAAGATGCACCGCTGGTGGGCTCGCATAAGAATGCGAAACAAGTCCGGTGGTTTTCTACTTTGGCTTTGATTATCGGAAAAAATTGCGCTAGGACAGGGAAGGAGTATTTAAAGGAGGTGATTTTAGTGTGATTCCCACAAAATAATACGATAAAATAATAATAATAATCGTTTAGCTGTAGCACCCTTCCGGTGCCTAGCTGCCATGCCACCCGGAGGAAGCACGAGGGCTGGGATACTGCCAGGTTGCCCAGGTCTGGATAGGGAAGTCGGGTGGCAGAAATGGTATTCGAACCACGGACCTTCCGGTCAGTAAATTCGCGCTCTAACCACTTGGGCCATCTCGCCCCCACAAAATAATACACAAAAATAATACAAAATAATACAACCCTTTACATTTACCCAGTTTATTCTCCCAGATGACCGTTTTATTTCGTATTTGTCTGTTTTGCTGTTCATGTCGGAAATCTGATAAATGAAAACTTGTGAATCCCAGTGAGCTGAAGAGACCATACACGATGGGACTGGTATTGGGCTCAACATTGCAATTTTTGATTTTTATGAGCGATAGCTTATCGGAGTCACCCGTTTTATTTTAGTGCGTATGCATGTGGAAGATCGCTGAGGATATGTGGCACTAAATTCATAAAGCAGGCAGACCACTGGAAGACTAGTTTGGTGATTTTTTTATAACAAAACTCGCAAAGTTTAACATTCGGTTTTTTTCACCTTTTGTCCATTCAACAGGAATGTATCTGTTTGCTAGAACGAAATCTAACGGAACTGACGTCCCCTAAGCCGACATGGTACCAGTTTTCACAGTAAATATAGCGGTCAGCATTCACATAAGCCGTGGTCCACTCTATTTGTCTCAAACGGGTAAAAGTAACCAACACACATTAGATCCATGGCATTCACAAAGTTTAATATTGTGTCTGGAGTAATGCCCAGTACGTCAGTAAGGCAGGGCATTATATTCCAGCCATTGCGAATCCTTAAAAAGGTACAAATACATTTACTAGAATTTCACAAACTCACCAAAAGCTAACTTTGCGCAGTTGAAGCAGATGCGTACTGGAAAAATACTGTACGTAGTTGGGTAATCAGGGAACATTACAATCTCAGTTCAACAGCACTACTTCTCTGACACACCTTAGTAGCGAAATCACCGAATTCATGAGTTTGAAACAGAATCTCACAATAATGTTTCTGCTGGATGGATGGAAGTTGTTCTTTAACTTCAGATGGAGAGTTTAAAATGCGAACCTGAATCCAAATTACTTGATAAAGGACAGTTAACTAAACTAAATGAATATGTCTCACCGGTGAACAGTTTCCAAACCTTTTGAACAAACAGTAAAATTTGCGTCAAACTTGTAGATTACCTGGTAGACAATGGATACGGAAGTAACTGGAACGTAACCAGATGGCTGGAAATGAAAACAGCAACGTGTGTTTTAATCGACTGAATTTGGATCCATTGAATGCATGCGCTCTACTCAAATTAAGGGAAAATAATCAAAATGACATATTCCAAAGCCATACCCCATCCAAAGACCATAGTTCAACTAGTTCCTGTTTGTAAGGTCCATCAGCGGAGTGGACCCATGGAGACCTGAACTTGCAGTCTCCGGTAACAACAAGACTTGGTTTACTGATTAGCACTTTCAGTAAACATCTTCTGGACTGTTTACAAAAAAACGCAACCCATACCTGGGATCTCTAAGTCCATTCATTGGTCAATCAGTGCAAACTGAGTAAGGCCAGTTGTTTTTATTTCCCCTTGCAAAAGAGAGTTTGGAAGAGGCCTACTTCCACAGTCTTTATGAAGATAATTTTGATTGTTCATTTGCTGTAAATATGTAAGTCGTAAGTGAATGGTAGGCATTTTAAGACGGTATACTCTCCTCTGAAAACATATTTAGTAAAGACTGTAGCATCACATTGGTATAGCGGATACCTTTGCCACTTTATTGTATTCTTTTATCCCTGGATGATGCATTCTCCTTCAGCTATTTGGCAGCTTTCTTGTGTGTATTTGCTTAAATCGGAAACTGCTTCTTATAGCAAACCAGATTTGGAAGGATTTTTAACAGTTTTTCTTGGTCATTACTAGGTATTCTTTCTCCCAGCCACTACGTCGGACGGCGGAGCAAATGAAGGAGTTAGTCGAGCGATTGAGTACACCTCGCCTGCGTTTGATCAAACCAAAGAACGATACAACCATGTTGGGCGACCCATTGCTGAGACTGGTGAATGCAGACCCCGACTAGATTTGGCCGTTATTCATAATAGTTCGGGATTCAGCGACAAAAATTCTTGCATCACGCCGTCTGTTGTAATGAGATCAACATGTGGTACATCACTGCCGTTGAACAGTGCGCTGGCTTTGGAAGAATCCTCTGGGGAAAATAAAATCAGTGAGAAGCGCCATGCAGGGGTTGCATCTGATGGTTTGAAATCAGTTTCCGTCACCAGTAACAGTTCAGTGGAACGAAAGAGAGGAGAACATCCCAGAAGATCGAAAAGTCGATATCTGGTCCAGGAGGTTGCTGATGCTTTCCGAAAGCACATCGCAACGAACCTGCGACGAAGCAGGAGTAGCGTCAAAGCCACGGCTGCATTTCATGGTACCATGGATGTACCAAAGATGATCGTCAGTTCATTCACCCATCACGTCCCCGAAAACTCCTCTGCCTTTCAAGAAAGTGACGTGCTTACGAAAAGTCCCCCCTGTTGTCGGAGTAAGTACCAAGTAAAATTGGAATCACAAGATAGACTTCACAAGATTCTCTGATTCTATGCGAATTGCACTATCTTCCTTCCTAAATGGAGACAGACGTTCCACTGCATTGTCCTCAGAAAATTTCAACATCCGGTTAACTTGTTTCACCAGTCTCTAAAAATTAACGTTATTTTTCTACGTAAACTGCTCTTTGAATTTAAATTGTGCGGCAAAAGTTACAACAGTAATACCCGTGAAGAGTGAAGTATACGATCTGTATATTTAAAATGAAACTGAGACGTAACAGTAATGAGTTTATGTGAATAAGGCTTACGCCAATATGAAAAAACTATTAGGAGTAAGATGCCCATACACCTCGACAGTATTAAAATAAATAAAGCTGAGAGTAATATCGAAGGAAGGAGACAGCAGCAGGATTGACACAGCCTTGCTAGCCTAAACCGATATAAGTCAAGCGCCCAACGACAGATGAACTCCGGTTAGGCCATCCAGATAGGAAATAACAGAATGCGGGCTAATGAGCTCAGTTGCATACGATGTCCTGCAGGGTTCCCAATCACCTGCAAACTGCATCATTTGGGTTCCCATTAGAAAGAGAGGATATCCCATAACACTCAGTTACTGTATCTGACTTGACTTTACGTTCCCCACGAATTTTGCGCAAACAATCGCTTGGAACTAAAATCAACTGTTTCTCCTGTAGACGACTGCAAAACATACCAAAATCGCCTCGAGTGGGTGATCTTAATCCAATGCTATAATTAATCAAAAGCATTATCAAATACTCGCCTACGCACCATCACGTTAAGTGCTCGTTTCAGCCAGCTTACTCTTGCCATGTTACGGGTAATCAGACGTTTTCGAAAACGTCCAGGTTCATCGGATTGGAAGAACCAAGTTACATACCCACAGCGTAAGGCCCCTGTTAGAGTTGCTTTGTACACATGACCCTCTAGCTACAGTGGAATTCGCTTTGCGCAAACGCTGCTCGCACCGCGCATTAACTTCATTCGTTATAGTACGACTACGACTTATGCTAAGATATATGAACCGATCAATAAAAGGAAGCTCTCCTGTTTTAACTTCCAAAAGAGCACTTTGTAAGTACACTATGCATGCCGATATTTTGCTGAATGTATTTTGCGCGGAAATTCACAAAATCTAATCCCATTATTGTCTTCTCAGTCGTGACTTATTTAAATAGACTCATGGTTCCTTCGAGTAGGGGTAACCTTTTAGACGTCGAGGACAGAACTAAGCACAGGAAAGAAAGGACAACCCTGATGAACGCTACTACCAGTGTGGAAGCTTTTGCACGGTTCATTCTACACCAGAACTTAATCTGGGTCATTGGAACTAAGATCACAAAGAAGGTTCGTGAACCTCAAAGACATCGATTTCCTCTGTCCAAGGATATTTAGAGCAGCTAATCTATCCACCTAGTCCAAGGTTCTTTTAGGTTGGGAAAACCGTGGCTTTTGGTGGTATAATTGGCGTCCAAGGTTCTTTTAGGTTGGGAAAACCGTGGCTTTTGGTGGGCGATATAATTGGCGCAGCTCAAGAACTTGATGTGAAAATATGACTAATACACACTGTGCCAGGTCGGAAATTTGCTTAATGCACTCGGACTCACGTTCATTTGCCGAAGGTAGGCGTTGCAATTTGAGAAGGCCCCTAGGTCTGTTATAAGTCTTATATCCCTATGGTTGGAACATTTTGTTTGGGCGCCACTTTCGAACGATGATCGATTGGTCCTGGAAGACTTTCGCTTTTAAATACGTACGAATAAACTAGACCAAGAAAAGAGCTCCAAAGATTATCCCCTATCTTAAGACAACGCAAGCTATGCTTATGTGATTCACCAGCCGGATATCGTTGCAAGGCAGAAAGATAAATTTCTGCTTCACCAACTGAGAGTTTATGGACTCACAGATCAGGTCTCAAAATTATCGGGCGAAAAGCAAACAAGTGGAAAAAGGGCAAATAGGCGATTTCTGAAAATATTCCACCAAGGATTCTTCGTGCTCGTCTTTATTATATATTAGATTTCTAACATTATCTATGATAGATAGATTTTTCAGAGAGAATAGCTTTAATGCACTCCTCGCCACATTTGTTTTTTCCACATCTCCAGCATTCTGATTCCACCAAGCCTCTCTCTCTGGTCAGTATTCCAAAAGAATTAAAGGGGATTTGGCGTTTTGCTTTAACAAGTAATAGCGACTATCTGAGATCCACCGATGCAGAGGCATCACAAGCCAAATTTTGGCGTTAAGTTCAGGCATGGTTATCTCATCCGAGTTCGGTCAAATTCATTCAAGAAAGCCGCATACAATGCGTTGCATAATAGGCCTTTGTATATTTCGCCACAAAGTTTTTGAACTGCTTGATAAGAAGCTCGTTCCTGTGGCTTCTCGGAGAGGTTTACCCAATATCTACAGAGAATTAAGGTGTGGATTCCAAAATGATCTGCTGCCATGGGCTGAGCTACACTATCAGTAACTAATGTCAGCGTGGTCACTTTGAATCCAGCAGTAGATGGACACCAGGTAGCAAAACGATGTCCATCGCGTCTTAAGCTAGTACTGCTGAGAATCAACTGGTGATGACCACAAATTTAAAAAGGCACTTACTATTATTATTGCGTTTGCGTTCACGTTAAACATACCGCCGAGGAGTACTTGCGGTGACGTACTACCTGTTTTTTCGAAATCTCTTGGTACTAGGACTATATCTAAGCCCTTCGTAGTAGGCAAGAGGGTGATCAGTTTTAGATAGAAGTTGGCTTAAAATGATGAAGTCTACGGCTCGATGGTGCATAAATGGAAGTGACAGACAAAAATCCTTTAGTATTTCAACCAGCGGGTGATTTTATCGCAAAAAAGTTGCATGTCAACAGGTATCCAGTCGATCAGTGATGCCTTAACCAGCAGACATTAGTCTACACAAACTCAGGTGCAATCCACTGCTGCAGCAGGCTCACTCAAAAATCCTAGCTTGTAGCACCTAGATACAGTTCAACTGGATATGGAATGTCGGATACAGTATCAAGTGTATGCGCAGAAGGAGAATGTTGGTCGATTTGCTCGAGGTTCTTATAATAAAAGCTGCAGTAAAACCAGGAGAGTATGATTGAAATAGTGCGCATGCAGCAGTAGGTGTGAGTGCTGCCGACTAATATGTTAGTTCTTTGGGCACGTGACTGATATCCCTATACTTGGGATCTAAGTAAAAGTGACTGCTCAGTGAAACAGGTTTAGAGGTAGAAAGTAAAAGTGAAGATTGATTGGAGTGTCTACGTTTAGTTGTTTTCACTTATCCGCCCTGTTGTAGACAGTGCATAAGGCGATCCGGCTTATATCACCAGATGACGACTAGTATGGGAACTCAGTAAATTTGCCTCACAATTAGTGATAGGAATACACAAGTCTATGAAGTTTTTACACAATCATATCGGCGAAGAACGACACGTCAATTAAGACCATGGGCTTTCTATCAAAAACGACCTTCTTGATGGCAACTGCAAGTGTAAAGATGTCACAGCAGCCTACGGCGAACCAGATTAAAAAAAAATTTTCTGTAAATTTGGCTGTGGCACGATTTGCAGATTTGGACATATCAGGGATGGATCTGTGCAAAGAATTTTGTTTATGGAGGTAAAAAAGGTGTAGTTGTTTTTTGTCGTCCTAAAATGTTTAAGCAGTAGTTCCAACATTTTATTTGCTTAAAGATGCGCAATGTCTTTTTTCCTATTTGGTCAGTTTTATATTTCTTCGGAGGGCCTCTGACGTTCTGCTGTTAATCCACGATTAGGAAAAGCCTCATCAAGATACTCATCCTTTTCTTGAATCATTGTCCCTTTTAGTGACGTGTGAGGATTAGGACTTGACAGCTGCCTCAAAATGTCTCCTTGATTTTAGCAATTTCAGACTTCGAACGAATGAAGAAGCGCTAATAACAGGAAGATTTGATTTGAATTTTTTCAAGTGACTTAACTAAGGGAAGTTGATGGTCTACAGTTTGATTACACATGCTCTCAAGTTGGATTTCCATGGATGTGCTGTCATCCGAATGCTTTGAGTCAAAAAATATTCAACTTAGTTTTTAAATCTCAAACAAATTAGGAAAGGTTGGACTTTTGAATAATTGCGGGTAAAACTTGGTGGATCACTTGAACATTGTGTGTGAGGTGTAGCGTAGCGCATTTGTGTGTATGTCTTTTTGTATAATGGAATTCACAAGGTCCAAAGACTCCACTTTATTTTGCTTCAATTACACATATCGCTTTAATAAACCGTTTTTTTCATGTGTTGTTCCTTAATGAACTGACCAAATATGGCATCACAGATCGATTTGTTGGCTATTTTCCTATCCACATTATCATTCTTGTTTTGATGAATTCAGACAGATCGTTACATTTTTAATAATGAGCATCGTGGGCACTACTCACACAATCAGGTCGCCTCAACATACTAACTTTTTGAAGATAACGATTTGTATTTACGTTTTCATATGTTCAATCAATTTTGCAAACTCTCTACGTACTCAACGGATCCAGAGCTTTAACCGTAGTAATTGTTGCAGGCGGAGAACCAAATGCATTCGGATCTTTGTATGGAAACTTCTGGTTGAATCATACCAGTTTTCTACGCAGCCAACTGAAATTTGAAGCTTTTCAAATCCGTTACATATTTTACCACATACTGTGAGTTTTGTCGTGTTGAAAAATAAATATGAATCAATTTCACATTGAAAGACTCGACTAGAACATGACAGAATGTCGATTGCCCGAGTCCCTACTGAACGGATCCCGAGTGCACTGTCGATTTTGTGTGGTGATCAGCTTTTCAACTCGCTTAGTGTATGATGTAAGACAATAGGCCCGCTCCTGCCACCATAACGGGTACTGCAGCAGCTGAGTCATTGGGGTATACCCCTAGTTCTTACAACTGTGTTTCTAAACTTTGCAAGTGATTCATGGAATAAAGTCCACCGGACCAATGTTCGGTGTATATCAGCGCATGGGTTGAGTAGGTTCCACAGTATGCCAAATTTTGACTGTCCCTAAACAACTAAAGGCGTTTCGGAGTTCGAAATCATACCTTGAAACGACAGATTCAAGAATCCATGGCATGTGGTGACAGGATATGCTTAAAAAGTCAGTTTTTGCTAATCACTATCAGCACCACAAGTTAGCAGGCTGCCCTCTGCTATATTCCTATTGCAGCGGAATATTGGTACATAGGCGTGTTCATAATCGTTTGAATTGTTCATTTTGGTCGAATAAGGCTGCTCGCAGATGCGTTTTTGACATTCTGTTAATCACTCGAGACCAGAATCACGTCATTAGTTTAATTTGGAAATGGGGCCAAATTACCTCACTACAGCGGATCAGGTAACAGTTGTCAATACTGATTTAAAATGACCTTGAAGAATTTGGTAAGCAAGAAGTGGTTATGATTCATCCACAATCCCATGCTAGTTCAGATAGTTCATTGATTTTATTGGGGTTGTCCCCGTGACCTACCGAAATCCTCTGCTACCCTCATTCCGTCTGGATTGTAGTAATTCTAAAACATAAAAATGTCAGGTGTTCACAGCATTTACAGGTTAATTCAGGCCTTTTCAGAGATCAGAAACCGTATTGTCTCCAAACACCTTAACCGGTCCCAGAAGCTTAGATACTGCACTTATATGGTGCAGCCGAAGATTGGCGAAAGTGTTTTTGAATTTTCGGGGAGCTTTCACCAACTAGAGGTGCGGTAGGCTACGTTAGGTGTCATTTTGTTCTATCCACTAGCAATAATACCAAAGCGAAGCAGTGCACGTACTGTGAGTAGAATAAAATTTGCAGCGTGGGTGTTTCTTTCAGTATAAATTTTAGAAAGAGATTTGCAGTGGCTCATTAGGTACGCAGCGAGTTGCAGCTTAATGATGTTATTGCTTGAAGTCATATCACATTGGTTCATGGCTCAGCATCTCAGCTACTGAAATAGTGGTGCAGCTTGGTATCCGGTCACAAATATTGAAGCTTTGAGCCAGAAAGGTCCTCTACACACAATAATAATAAGGTTTGTACTGACATAATTTGCTATGCTGTAACGTATTAAGATGACTAAACACCATGGTCTAAATAATACATTCTGTTCTCGAATGCTATTAGGGTGATGTGCTATACCTCCAAAGTTACGAACATGGTCAAATTCGGTTCTGCCTCGGCTAAACTAATATTTAAACCATTCCTAATTTCAGTCCTTGGCTACATGTATCAATTTGGTGTATGGGACGACAAAGCGCCTGTTTTAGACCCCCGATTACCATTGGCAGTCTGTGGAAGCTCTTCGTCACAACGGCTTGCAGACAGATGTGGAACCGTTATTGCGAATCCCCCGGAATGGCACCACGCAGAAGTCGGTCCCAGTCCATCGGTCACGGCACAAGAGTCTCTGGTCCGGGGTCGTATAGTAGCATGCTTGCAGCGGTTCACGCAGCACAGCCTGACCAGTGGAAAGGCTCTGCATCGAAGCACCTACGTTCAACAGACCAGACTTGTTCGAAAGGTACCTAAACGCACCAATTTTTCCATAACGACGTCATTCAAATGTCAAAAAATCCGTATGCTTGAGTCGAAACAGTCACAATGTCGGAGGAACCCAATCCGTCAAATGATTCTCAATATGCTAGCTAACGAGCCACGTATTTAAGTTTGCGATATATTTGAGCAAGCACGCTATTGCTTGACTTCACGTGCTTTCAGAACAGCCTCAAGAAGACTACTTCCGGTAGATTTTCAAACATCCTTCGCTCGCTTCTGTTTAGCTTTTCTTTCATAACTATACAAAAACAGTTTTATGGTTTGGTCGCTGTACCCTTTTAGCGTAATGGACGTCAGACACCAAGAATACAAATGGTTAAGTAGTCTAATCCTGTGTTTCAGCGCTCTCTGTCCTGTCGTACTCTCTCTTCCAAAAACTTCCAACAAATTCTGCAATTCTTGGTGGTAAAAGTTTTTTCGCACCCACACACCAGGTGCAAATAAGCTGGATTCAGAATAGTCAACATTTCTGAGGGTACGAATTTGAGCACCTATCAATTGTCTCCACGTTGGGCTGCATATTGCGCACTGCATATTCTGTTGCTCTTCAGAGAAAGAATCAGAAGAGTGATTCCAATGTGCTTCCGGTGAATGACGACCAACAGCTCACTGGAGACAAGGAGTCAGATGGAACAAGACAACGTGTACTACTTGGATCCGGAAATCAAGACACTGGGTGAGCATTCAAGTTTGAAAAGAATTAGACAATCGAACTATTATTATCTGAAAGTCTAACATTGTTGTTTTCACCGTATTATTTAGATTAGAAAAGAACGAAATACAAGGGGGCACCAAAGCCGGAGCTGGATGGTTTCCTTCAACGGGCGAGTTCACTCAGTGCTGTCCAGATCGTTTACAAATCCTACAATCAATTTGTCCAGCAGCTGCGGCGGCGACCATCTTGTTGGGAAGGCAGTTTTTGTCCAAGACTCTGACCGATTCGGACTACGATTCAAATGATGATAGTGGAGAACTGGGACAGTCTACCAATGGGACCAGAGTTTTGGTTACTGCTAAATCCTGGTGTCCACCTGCCCTTATTTCGCAAAATCTCTCACCATATTTAATATTCAGTAACAGTGAAGATGAACCAAGAGATAATGGGCTTCCTTTCAAAGTAAGTAACATACAGATAACCCGGATAGTATGTCTGTGTTTGCTGTGCACTGGATCCGAAATTTTCTCGGAACTGTCTGAACAAGAATTTTATGGTTCGTCATTTCAGCTAACTTCATCAATCACGGAAGAAGAGCGATAAGCTCTGTTTAACAATATCAGTAAAGGTAGTGTAGCACGCTGAACCCCACTATCGGCTTCAGACTCGTTTATGGCAACAAACAACTTTGACGGTTTTTTCGAGTATGATTTTGAAATTCGGAAACATCGTTGACCTTTTGAGAAGGGCATAGATCAGTTCAAGTGACAAGGAATTTATGCATCTCTGAGTAACTTATTAGTGACAAGCATGGTATCGGAATAGGATAAAATTACCTGTTTAAAGGAACCGGGAGAATTCAAACGGTTCGACGTTAGTATTTAGATTGATTTGTGTGTCTGGAAAGTGCAGAGTGATCAACAGGCTTTGATCTAGGGTTTCAGTCTCAGATAGGATTTGTTTTGGGGAGTATTTTCTGCACAGTAACATGTTTTTAAGTGCTTCTGAATGATCACACTTTTCTCATTAAATCCTTCTTTACTCTTAACAGATATGTTGTGCGTCTCTTTCTTGAATGATTAGATCTTGGAAAAATACAGCTGCGTTTCCTCGCTGACGTAATATGAGGTAGTCGTCAGTTATGGCCACACTGTGTAACCAAAACACAGGAGGCAGGAGCAGGGCAGTCTACAGCCCGTTTCCGGTGTTTTGTAACGCATCTGTGAAGGGTTACAATTGTCTCAATAGCCAGAAATCAAACACTGAAAATATCACACACATTTTAAAGGGCAACCCTAAATAAAAACTGGAATAATGATAGCTGTTCATCTTTTCAAAGGCTGTGGCTCAACTGCGAATAATATGGCTAGTGCAAAATTGTGTACCGGCTAAGTGCGTTCAAAATGTTCACTCTAGTCTAACAGTGTGACTGCATACTGATTCAGCGCTGCTGACGAACTCGTGTTTCGTCTATGTGGTCTCATGAAATCCCTAATCTTTAAGCCTGAGCGATAAGGCTTCTATGTTTTCACCTCACACAAACAGATTCTTGTTCCTGAACTGCGTTCTGTTAAGTCCTTGGACAGTGAGTATGTCGAAAAACCTGGAGTTCAACGCTTTTACATGCACTTGATAAATCAGTTGTTCTATTGCTCTGATAAGAACAAACGCATCTTTTACATAGCTTTAAATCAGTTGTTCTATACCGCTGATAAGAACAACGCATCTTTCTACATAGCTTGTTTAATTTTTTGTACACCAGATCCCCTGTTGTCTTAGGAACCGAACAAAATGATCAACATTTTTTCCATCGAGAAGAAATTATTTACGAGCTGAGTTTCCGGCTATATGCCTTTACCTCAGCCATAAAGTAGAACAGGCAGATAGAGGAAGTCAAACTCATCTCAGGAAAGTTCAAAAAACCGAAAACATTTATTTATCCGTTCATGCAACAGGAAAAATCTTCAGGCGTGCCACATCTTCGAATCCGTGGAGGAACTCTGGATGGTCTTATTGCCTACACGTTACGGTTACTTGGAAGTGAGTCGCAAGGTAGGTTCGGGATCACAGGACACTATGTTTGCGACATTTCAAATATCTTGCCTAGGATTGGTCAACTTTCTGCAGCAAAATCATCATCAGTGGTGACTGTGACAAGGTGTACTGTGTCAAATTTAGCGTTATTTCAAAAGGCCTGGACCATTCAAGTGCTCGTCTGGTAACAAGCGACAGTTCAAAATGTTATAAAAATTATTTTTTGAGATGTTTGCTCCTGTTTGACGTAGCCACTGTAAACATCAATCAACCATGTCTTCGGTTTCAAGCTCCTAGGCGAACCCCTTCGAATTCACTGAAATTAGTACGGTGACCCCAACGGAGATCATTTGCCACAGCTTTACTGTTCGTTTGTCCCAAAATAATTAACTGAACGTCAGCAAATAAGAACTACGATTTTGTAACTCTGATAGGACACATTTGGGACAGTCAATAAACGCTTATTGAGTTTACATTAGAATATATGTGAAAACTACTTAGAGACGCACAATTTTCAGTACTCAACATAAGGTTCTTCCTAAAATGCAATCATTTCGGCTGGTTTAGCTATATTTCCACCGATCTTGAGATTCTTTGGAGAACCGAAATTTCAAATGGTTTCACCTCTTCACCGCTCGCGCTCATTCGACGCAAAATCGTCTGTAGTTGGAATTTTAGAACGTTTATTCCCGTTTACTTCTGCTCCCCACAGTCAGGTTTAAACGGTAGGAAAAATGAAGGGTGTTTGGATAACAGGGTGACCTGTGTTTGTTGCGAGGATCGTGTTGCATGGAGTGCTGTTTGACCTTCAGGAATATGGCTTCTAAATTCGCTCGTCATCCAGCTAGCCTTTGCATACAGGACACAATATTTGCGTAATTTAGAACTGCAGTTGTTAAGTCACAAACTGCTTTACCAGTAGTTTCCAGCCCAACAAGAATTCCTCCCCAGAGAAGAACTGTGGAATTGTGTGGAAGAGTTTGGAGCGCACAAGCATTGATTTTAAAGAGCTATTAAGGTCCTCGCACTCTGTAATTCTTTGCAATCTACTAAACTGCCAACTAGCCGCGTACAATAAGCAACGTTATGTATACGTTGCCATGCATCATAGATTTACCTCTGTAATATTCCGTCACCTAATTTTTCTAAAGCACGTGGTGGTTTTTGTTGAAAAGCAGTATCTTTATAATGTCAACTGGCGGTATTATTCGATACACATTGCCATCCAATATGAGCAAAATCTTTCATTGTTGTGCGGTGTACTTAAGTGTATACAAAGCCGTTACACTACACAATGGAACAAAAAGAATGGTTTGGCTCGCACCGACTCTAGGCCACTCTGCTTTTCCCATAATTCATGCTCCTGTCATCGGCCCAAATGAATGGTCTTCTTTTTTCTGGTTCCACTCTTTCACGAGTGTTCTACAGTATGATGTTCTGTTTGCTCAATTGTTTCAGGCAATTAGTGTGCTTGTAATTTGTCACCAAACCAAAATTTGCTATTGACACGGTGTTTTTATTCAAGTTATAGTTGAATGAAAACCGTTTTTAAGCGAATATGAGAACTAAACTTATCTGCAAATATATTGGCAACGACAAAGTAGCATGGTATTTTCTGTGGTAATTAGTTCCTCAAGACCAAAAGCCCTAATTTAGTCTGGTAATCAGGTTGGTACAGGATCAATTTTGACAACCTCATTGCAGTTATGAAATTTTCCTTTTGAATAAGAGGATAATAAGGATTTATATTTGACAACTTCATTTTCTTATTTAGGCCTAATGCGCTTTGTAATTAGTCCTTGAACGAATCCGCCGTGTGTGAAGCCAAAATCAGGATATTGAACGAATCCGCCGTGTGTGAAGCCAACAACAAATCAGGATAAATTCTTTTTTTTCTTTTGGAAAGACGTCCTACGCATTTATTTCCTGGATTTTAGAGTCACCTTCTGGAAACTTTGTTGTTAATTACTGGCATTCATGTTGTAGGCGGAGCATTATTGAGGCTAATAGGAAACATGATAAGTTGTTTTGCAACAAAAGTGGCTCCTTCTGTTAGAACGTTTTAGGCACTACAGATTAGAATCAATAAATTGGGCTTTGAAACTAGGCCGAACAATGACTGAACCTAAACTGTATTGATCTGATTAGAAAACGATTTTTGGTTTCACGCACTTATTCTTTGTCTTTTATACGAGGACTCCAAAAATTTGCAGTTTGGCTCCGTTATTAATGAGGAAAAATAATGTCGAATAATAAAAAGTAAATACGGTTGCGACAAAAATACAAAAAAGTAACGACAACGCGGTTTTTAGAATGATACCGTTTGAAGTGCAACGTGACAGACTGCAACATCTGCTGCACGCTTGTACAGGGACTAGTATGCTGTGTGACACTGTATTAGGGCAAGACCTTTTCTTGAATAATCAAAATGGGGCATTCAAAAGATCAGCGATCTTCGTTTAGTGCAAATATTATTAACATCTGCACAGGTCCATCAGAAGCGCATACGTTTTAGAAAACTTTGGTGCTTGGGACATTCGATTTATTTGAGATTTCTTTCTTTAGCTGCAGGCAATCTAGGCTGAGTAGGCGAGAAGCATTGTACAAATTTGTATGTAGCTACCTCAGCAGAAGACGAATCCCGCAAAGCCGAATCAACTATCATCTGATCAGTTATCACTCAATAGAAGGTCGGCATGTGACCACGTGCTGCGGATTCCGTCATTGGAGGATGAGGAGCGCTGTGTCCTGTGGAGTCAGTCAGGATCTGTGTGATCGAAAGCCGTTCGAAATCAAAGCCATGTGACTAAAGGATCAAATTTCGAATTGTCTTTGGCCAGGTCAGTGATCAGACTCACGAGGGTTCATCGACCGGCCTTGTAATATCGCCTGATTTATGACAGCAATGTCGAAACGGTTGGGTCATGTTAAGCGAAAAACTTGGATCGGGCGCTTTTCGACGCTCATCTCCGTTCTCTGACTGTCGATAGCCACGGTCTCTGAGGTGGTCATTAGTTTCATTCTTAATCTCCGTGGTAGCTTTAAACGAACACAGTGGTAATAGTGAATGCCGTTGCATAATCTACGTAGTATCCTATGTCTACCATGTGTGCTAGCACCGATGTGAACTATTTCCACAGATTCTTTGGGCATCCAGGATGGCACCTGCCTGGACACGCGTCTGGACATCCCTCTTGTCATTCGGCCGATTAAGTGGGTCCAAGGGATCAAGCGGGCTTTTAGACAGAGAGAGGCGGCCTGGCGAGGTGGTTGATTGTTCCAGTTTTGTCTGAAAACTGAACAGGTGGTAAATGTTAGATGGAGGCGGTCAGCAGTAAATATGCCTTTAGCATCCTAGTAGGCTCCTCTCTGGATGTGTAGGTGACCGAATCGTGTTTGTAAGGCAGTCGTAGGTGAAAGGTTCATCCGGCATATCTTGTTCAGATGCCTTGCATGGAAGGATGTATTGATCAAACCCAGAAGATGTGTTAGAGGTGCAACGCACCACCAAGCTAAACGTTTGTCAAAACGCCTGGGTAAAATTCATGTGAAATTCTTTTTCACGGAGTTTCCAAACCTTGCACAACCTCAAGTTTTTGCCACAAAGAGTGGCCCTATTGAATTTTTTTTACTCATAGAAATACGCTTTATTCAGGACCACTGGATGCCATAGATCACTGACACTATGAGATAGTGCTGAGCACTTATGAGACTAAGTAATTCGAGTAAACTCTAGTAATGAATATCGACAGATTGCTTATTGCATCTAGTTGCGTGGAACGTGAAACACGAAAAGCTAAAAAGCCGCAACTAGTAACCAACCCCTGGATTATTCAAATGGACTTCAGTCCGTGGGTCAATCATCTCTTGTACTAATAAGAGCCGAAAGCATACAGACCTGCGCTAGACGGAGCAGATCAGACACCTTGTTGATTTTATACTCACTTGTACGCTGGAAATATCCCCGGATTGACTCATTAGTTTCTAAACGCTGTTTGGATAAGACTTAATTGTTCACATCCTAGACACCTAGGTCTAATAACAGCTACCGAGTTTGCACGCTGATATCCATATAGGACGGGAATCTACCTGGTTCTGAACCACATCAGCGTAATAACCACAAAACTTTGCACTAGAATGGACGCTAAGGAGCTAACCTCTTTAATATCTGGGTGTCGGTTATTTGACTAACAAAGCGGTGACACAGCCCCCAAAGATGAACATCACTTGTAATGCCGTTTCAGTGAAGCCTTTAAATGTACTCTTCTATTTAAAAACATCTCTTCTACATAGATCCAGGTGTCATGACGTTACACAACCAATCGTCTTTTGCAGTGTATTTTGTGAGAATTTCCTAAGTAAATTCATTTGGTTTGCCAGACATGTGACCAGAAACTTTCCTATCTGTCTTTTATTCTAGCATCGTCTCAGCTCGACAGCTTGTTTCCTCATGTGTTTCGAGTGACCTACTCAACATTCTCATCACCAGAAAAAGTTATCGAAAAGCTCATCCAGGCCTATGTCGCCCATTCCCCGGTGGAACCCGGTTGCCAAACCACGAACTGGGCAGAAGCCTTGTGTGCTGCTCGCTTCCTTGTTACTCTGGTAAGTGATTCATCGAGACATTTCTCTTCCGTTGTGGTTGTGCCTAATTAAGACACGTTTGGGAACAGAAAAAGTCTAGGCCCGCAAAACGGTCATTACGTAGTTTTGTGGAACATGTTTGAAAAAAGAATGAATATATCACCCTTCTGCGCTTATATCAGCGTAGACACTACTTCTCACTTGGTTTTCTGACTGTGAAATATTGAATTTTGCAAACAACTGGGTGGATTTCTATCAGTCAGCCTATTCGTTTCTCGAAAAAGTTTCTGGTATGCTGGCCGCCAAAATATGCGGCTCCTTCTTTCAGTATATCTGTCTTGAACACAGTAAAAGATAAAGGTTAAACTTTTTGGCATACTACAAGTTCTATCTGGATTCTTGTTATTTTTATGCAGTTTTGAATCTCGTAAGCACTTTGGCGGGACAAATGCATGAAATACCATCATCAGATGCACTTGAGTTATTAATTAAATGATTGACCAACGAAGATAGAGTAACGTGGGAACTAGTGGTTATAGTCAATGCTACATGTATACATTTTGCACAAAATTGGAGCACTGTGACAAACGATAAGGTATTGGACTCAGTGACACTCATGTAGACCACTGTAGCATAACGTGACTAGATATGTCATCACCTTAACCTCCCAAGGGTAACCTCTGTGAGAATAGGCTTTTTTCAACAAACTCAGCGGGGATAACTTCTTCGTATTTAACGTAAAAGAGCTGGCCGCCAAAGGCTCAAGAATCCAGTTTACCGACCCTGTTTATTCATGAACAGTCTCTGTCTCCTGAGCACGTCATTCAATGCATCACTGGTGAAATTCTCAACCAGCCTTCCATTTTTAGTAGGCATTTTTCTCTGCTCTGTTCAAACTACTAGCCGGGAAGTCGCGGGTTCGAGACTCTTCGGAGTTTCGTGAGATGCACACTGCTGATGATTCCCAATAAGGATGAAACAGCTGCACAGTGTTTCTCGGCTTTCCAGCATAGGTGGGCTTCACTTACAGGGCGAAATCTCCACAAAAATCCCAAATCTGCTCACACTACCCACAATCTTTCTCTGCATTGCGCTGTGGTCTAACCTTTTGGAGATTGATTGGTGTTTGCATCATCCTATTGCTTTCAGTGTAATAACTGGTGTTCTTCGCTTTACTAATTGGGCTCCTGCATCGGTCAAATTGATTTATCCGTTTGAATCGGGTTTTTTCACTTCTTTTATGAGATTGTCGTCCGGTTTCTTGCGTAGTTTTGAGCTGGCGTTAACATGTTCTTCGTAGCTTATGAATGGGGTCCTTTTCATTTTGTTCGATGGTGCTTCCAGTGTTTTCTCATGCTTTATTAAATTCTTTCCTTCTTTGTTTGTTCTTGCTTGAGCTAGTGTGAGATAACCCTTCCAGTCGTTCTCGTGTTCCCTATGACCCTTGTCCGCGAAAATAAGAAAAATATTGATCATGGCTTCTCGTGACGAGGTCTTGTTCATGTGGAAAACTTCCTTCGCTATTGTGGCGTTCTCCGTAACGCTTGCGTTTGAACCCCTTTAAAAAAATGGTCTTGGTCATTAAGTATAACTTCCCTCCGGTTTCGATCGTATCCTCCTTTGCAGATCTGTAGGCGATCATGGCATTACATTGTCGTAAGATGCTTGAGGCTATTTCAGCATTGTTCCTGATTTATAGGACTGTCATTTTTTGGCTCCGTTCTGCGCCTTAGTTTTGGTCATATTTAGCTTCCCGAGCGACCCATGAATGAAATTTTCGGGTCATCCATTTACATGGAAAACCTAGTAGAGTTGTCTTTTTCTTTTTGAGCCTGGATTACATACTGCTATAGTGCCTCTCATTCTGCTCGGAAAATGTATGAATGCAGCTTTGTTTCATAGATGGGCATACTTGGAAGCAAAGTAATGATTTCGTCAATTCATGCTTAAAAACCAAGTAACACCATATAGTTTCTTCTTCCTTGTTTTGGGGTTATCATCTCTGTACACCTCAGAACTCACTTGGAAGAGTCAAACCCTCAATGTTTTACCATCAATTCTTGAGTTGCTGATCGGCTATGTCTTGTACCTTACACTAATACGGGATATAGCGCCACTTATCATTCAGTCGTGCTATTCAAGTCAGGCGACTTTGTTTCGACCAAGCAAATTTATACCTGCTTAGACTGAAAGACACGTAACTTGCAGGATTTCTTTCTATCCAGTCAGACAACTTGTAATTCAAATACATAAGTCATTTACCAAATCATCAAATGCTTGGGACACGAAAGCGCTTCCGCTGGACTTCTTGACCTTATAAGAAGGATATCTGGGCTAAGTTTACCAAAAAATATCACTCAACTATTTTATACTTGTGAAATTTCTTTTAAATCTTCATATCGTGTCAAATGTCAGTTGCACGTGTAGCTAAACGGAGTGCCGGGAGCAACAGTCTCCAGTCTTTAGTGAGTTAACTTTTACTCCCTGGGGGAGAATAGTTACTGAGGCCGAAATTTCCTGGCCTCATGATAAGTGAAATAGGAATCCCCGAGCAAACACGAAAAGGACATGTTGGACGTTTTAAGCACAATGAATATTGAATACGCCATGTTGCCATTTTCATCAAAATATTATCTTTCAAGCTAAACATGTTCCAAAAGTGTGACCTCTCTAAACATTAGGGAAATATTAAGGACGATGAACATTGTTTGGCCGGGTTGTTTGGAAACTAAAAATAGGTTTCCTAATCGCTTTATTCAATCTGAACACTTTATGAGATGGGGTTAAAATCAAAATCCTTTGTTTTTGTGACCAGGCCAAGGAGCTTCATCCCGAACAACTCTCAGCACGGATTATCCTTCAGCTTGCCAGATTTACCAGACTTCTTTTGTTAGACGGTTCAATGGCGTATGCAAAGCAGCACCCGTCGTCTGTTGTCAAACAGCTATCCCAAGACGAAAACCTGGATGAACATTCAGGAGACTCATCCGTGAATTGCGTTTCTGCCGAGCACAAACTACTCGCCGACTCACTTTTGGATAGCCTACCACTACTTTCCAAAAACGCAGGGCTACGCAAGCGTACAACCTCGTGCTCTAAAGGTTCAAGCCCTGAAAATCAAAACACAGTCAGTGGTGGCATTCTGACCGAGAGAAATCCACAAAAAATCCATTTAAAACGCAAATCTACTGACAATTCGGAAATGCTTGCATCCAAGAATGAACGTAATTTTGGGTGTGAAACTCTCCCGAGTGTGCATCAAACCTCGTTTGGTCCCTCTTCCCAACCAGATTCACCGAGATCTTTGGGTCTGCGTGAAAGGTAAGTATACAACTCAATACCGATTAGGGTCGACCGTGATGATGAAGTTACCCTTGTTTATGTGTTTGCGCTTTCATCACTCCACGTGTTGTGGTCTGGAGCGTATCCTGTGTTCTAAATCTGTGTCGTAACTTGCCTTCATTGTGGCTCCTTAGTTCCAGAACAATCAAACTATCACGCCATTGCAGTTGCAATGAAAATGCTAAAAAGATGGACTGTCTAAGCAGTGCTAACCACTGTAACATTCCAGAAACTATCTCGGAAGTTGAGAGAAAATGTGTGAAAAGTTTATGCCCCTCCCTCAAGAATGTGGATTCCCAGCTACACGAGAAGAGCCATCTGTGTTGAACGTCCTAGATATAGAACATGTAGGTATGATGCGCTCCAATGTCCCGAAAAGTGGAACATAGCACAAAACTCCGTTAATGTTGGGCTATCTAAGGAAGCTGAATCTGTTATTTGGTTGGAACATGCGAAACTATTCAGACCGATGCAGCAGCTGATCCTGAAAAGCATTATCTATATGACACCGCGTGCCCTTCAGAATGAACTGAACACCAACCGCCTCAATGAATGACACCACCTGACCCGTTACTCAAAGAACTATGTCAATGGCAGATAAACCCATCCATTTCTCATTTCATCCAATCAGCTATCACTTGTTTAACATGAACTCCAAGTATAACTACCATACCAGCCGAGTTGCTGTAAACGACTTCGGTCGGAGGACACTCTTGTTGGGAACTGATGAACAAGATCAATCGGTAAAATGCTTAGGTTGCGTCGTGTTTTGAATGAACTGATCAGACCATTAATTCTAGACAAGTATTCGTACAATCTAATGATGAATGATGTTTCTACCTCCACCTGTTCTGGATTTCGGCTGATTCAGCCTGAGCAGGTAAGTTTACTTGCATACATTGGCTTCGAATCCACAATGAGAAACAATAAACCAGAATAAATGCATATCACTAAGCTGATAGCATAAACTACTGATACACTGAGGATGTCATGTTCAATGGTATCGAAACATTAGTGTTTTGATTCATTCACACACAAGCGCACCTGCCACCAGATTTCGGTATGGATTTCACCATTTATCGCACCCTAAGGATTGAAATTAGTTTGTGTACGCTTACAATGGGAAATTTAATTTTTTGGAATTTTATAAAAATATCATCGGACTTTTCTTACAGAATCAGACTTTTTCTGGAGAATGATGCTCAGTCTATTGCCACGGAAATAACCCGCGTAGAAGAGGAGATGTTCGAGAAGATTGATGTAAGTTTGCCGATAGAAACCCCAATAACGGTGAATCCATCGATATTGAATCATAGCTTTTAAATCCACCCAAACACTTGTCAAGTGGTGACCTCATACATTTTGATTAGTCTGTATCTCATGGCTTGTAGTGCTAATGTAAAGCGATGACGAAGCCACTCTTGTCTTATGGATGAACTTGGCTTTGCAGCAAACCTGCTTCCTTCTTCAACTGATCCAAGTTCTATTGGTCCAGACTTTACTTTCTAGCCTTTGAAATTACCGTAAACTAGTGAACTGCTGATTTCAACATGAAGTCTAATCTACCCATTGGAACAGCACCACTAAAAAGACAACTGAAAATATTCCATGCAGTCTAGTGAGTTACCTCAATTTGTCCAAAGAATTCGTACAGTGGCCTTATAGAACCGTAAAGTGATGTTTCGTAATTTTGCATCATTGCTACTCCATTAGCTTGATGCTTGTTAAAATAGAACAGTGACTAGCAGTGACTAGTGGCTCCACACTGACCAGCTTGAATCGTCCCTTTCCTTCGCCCTCACGTTGAAAAACACTAACCTTGGTGTTTGCGAGTTTTGATCGAGGAAACTATCAAATTGTCTTACGTAGAAGCCTGCCATTTCCCTACCACTATTCAATCAACCAAACTTAGATCTGCTCATTCTTGCCACAAGAAAGTGAAAAAACCCTTCTGATTCACCCGTTCAACAGACAGGGCGTGTTTTAATAGAATGAGTAAAATTACATTGATCTATTGCTCTGTAGATCATTCCGGCTTCAAGTTTTGCTAACTCTGATAACGAATGCCACTCAGCTCCTATTCAGGTAGTGGCGCAGCGCAAAGCTACTCGGAAGTTTTATTTCAATTTATTTGCACAAAATACGTTTTGGTTGGAGTCATCATTGTTCTCTTTCCCTGCAGTTCCATGAATTCCTCGACATACACCGCCTTGAACGAGGGGATGCACGAACGCTTGGGTTGTGCGTGGAGCACTTCAATATAATCACCAGATGGGCTCGAAGTTTACTGTTTGTTGTAGGTCCAAAGGTGGCAGAGGAAGATGAGACTAAGGCTAACGAGGATGACCCGTTGCACAAAGGTACAAATCCGACCATCAGTGATACAACCCCTGGCGGATTGATAAATGTGACAAAAGAGGAACGCGTCCAAGAGGTTGAGGTTGATACAAAGCATAACTCCACTAGTTCAGCCGTCAAAATGAAGAATTCTAAGTCATCGCCATCACATACAACTCTCCGGACTGCCAGTGAATCGCAGGAGAAAACACGATGGAATATGTATTGTTTACCTAATTTTTCCACTCGTGGACCGGAAGAAAAGCTTCTTCGGCTGAGAAAACTGAACATGCTGAATGCGGTTTTCTGTCAGCTTTGTGAAATCTTAAAGGTAATTTATAAAGTTCTAACCTAAAAATGTACTTCATTCATGAGTGAAAGCCTTGTGCTGTCGAGGGAACATTGTAGGTGATTTCTTAAAGAGGGGTTTCCAGATTTTCAAAGGCGGATTGTATTTGGATCGCTACGCAACGTTTTAATTCGCTCGGAAAACTGAAATTTTTTTCTACTTTCTTCAGATGTGTTGAAAAACATTTGCTGATTGAAAGTATGGCCTCTGGTCACCCATGATGGCACGAGTATTTGAAACAATTCTGCATTCAGCCAGCTTGGATTCAGCCACCTGTTTATATGCTTATTAGTCATCCGAATGTAACGTACCTTCCCAAGTCGGTGCTTCAGTTATTGTGTGTTGAGTGCACCAAATTGCTCAACTTGGGCGATAGCCAACAGTTCCCACAATATCTCAGGGTTACCGCAAGAAATCATGGCTTTTTTAAAGTGGTTTTCATTCGGCATTTTTTTAAACAGTCACAATTTTCCTCACTCTTCAAGGTCCTCATGAACGACCGTGTAGCCGCCTTCAGCTTAGGGCGTTCGTCGGAAGTTTTCTCAAGGCAGAAAGCTCGGTCAGGCAAAAGTAATTTGCCTTGCTTTGCGGCGTAACTTGGACTAATCAGGTAAACGTAGGATGATTGAAGCGAGTGTTCAACAGAGAATAATCATTAGGATTTGTGTAGGCCAGGAACACAAGCGATAAAAGTGGTAGTAGTGAGAGTGGGAGATTGGACATCTAAAAATCAAATCTTACCACATTCATTCGATGATTCACGGTAGGACGAAATGCGTTATGGTTATCGCTTTCAAAATTGACTATTTCTGTCTATTCAGGGTTAATTCTATCTAGATCTGATATGAACCCAATATCCAAAGGGTCATGATTTGTCACGTTTTAGTCTGCAAGAAGTGTAGTTTCCCTTGATTCTCTTATCTACACAGCTGAATCTAGCCACTATAAGAAGAAGGCCAGAAAACTAAAAAAAATGCTTATTTGGGTTTGGGAGAATTAAGATTTTAGGACTCCGTGTGGCCGATCATGGTTCAGATTTAGTCCTTCAGAGCAAGCGTGAAATGATATCGGGAAACTTCATCCCATGTTCTGTTTTTTTACAAATAAAACGGGTATTTCTACAATGACCGAAATATCAATTCGTTTTGCTCAAAAATATTCAAGATACAGCACTTTTCTTTTCCCACAAAGTCCTAAAAGAAGAAACCATCAGTAAGGAAACATTTTTTTCATTTATACCTCCTGTGAAAAACTGAGCCCCTAGAGTGCTGCAGTTTCTCCAATGACAGGCCCACATCGCACGTAGAAACATGACATTTGAGACACCAGGTTAACTGGTTTATTGTCGCTCCAAAGAGTTTATTACAAACATGACTGATAGGTTAACCATCCACATGACTGGACTCGTTTTGACCGGATTCGCTTTGAATTGGCCGATAAGTTAACCTTCGAAACGAATACTTTACAAGTCGTTGGAGCATTCCACTGCTGATCTACTAATGAGAGGCAAAACTGCTGAAGGACAGAATGAGGTGACACGAAACGACCCAATACTCATCGCTTTTTCATTACTCGTCGTTGCTCTCCTTATCAAACGGCGCACTGAGTTCGACAGGTCCTAATGATGTTTATTTAAGTAGATAAATCATTGGATATCGGGGACTGACGAACGTGATCCAGGTAATCCAGGTTGCTGCAGGCAAACATTAAATCAAAGATGAACACCGATATCATATGGTTTTTATCGGTGGTCCCCTGGCGAGTGATCCCCACCCATTGGTATAACATAGTGAAAAAATTTGAAGATGTCTCCTCGAGGCTAAACATTGAAGTACAACTCTGAACACAATACTCTTGTTTTTGCCTTGCTTGCTACATAAATCACCGAAGAACTGAGGACTGAAAATTAAAGAAATATATTTTAAGTAGAAATATGGGCCAAGGAATGCTGTTTTGATAAGGTCTCGGGTTACAAAGCGGCGGAATCTGAAGTTTTTACGCCTAAAGCAATGCAGCGGGTGAAGTGAGTACAAGGCGAAGATTGGGGAAAACAGCCGCTTGCTTTTGGATAAGGTGTAAAGTATCTCATTGAAGAAACGGTGGCGCAATCCGAAGCCGAACGTTTTGTTCAGTAAATCAGGCAGTGCGTACCAGTTTTGCCTCAGCCGGGATGATAAACAGTCTTGGGTTTTCAGCTATCCACTTTTCCTAATAAAACTTCAAAGGACCCTTTGTTTCAGAAGGCTGGCGAACTTGGAGCCGTTCCCATAGTTGTGAATTTGAGTAGTTTTTTATTCTGGTGGGACAAACCTGCTAAATTTTTTGCAGTGTCCCGACCGGACAGGATCAAAGTGAGATTCTGTTCAAATTCAGCATCTAAAAAGTGATATGAGATCTCGGTGTCTCTGACCCAAATGAGTGCAATGAAAGCAAGAAATGTGGTATTATCCTTCAAAGCAGGTTCATTTTAATTCCACTTTTTAGAACGGCGAAAACGTAGACTACATATCGGCGATATTACTGTCTCTCTTGGGGTTTGCTGTTGCTGATTTAGCTTTTTTAGCTGTGTAACTTGGCAAGACTAATCCGGAAGGGTTTTTCAGACCAACTGCTGGTCTGATTGCAAATAAGAACTTTTCAAAATCAAAACTAACTCAGGAAGTTGCTTATTCGGAGATTGTTTTTAAAACACCCCTAACTCTCACACGTTTAGTTGCCTGAGGGGTGCTGATAATCCTTTATTTTTATTTTGGTTTTAAAGCACTTGAAAATTTTGAAGAACTTCAGTTCGTTTCTGGCTCTGCTTCTGGCAGTTCAGGAAGTTCCGGAGAACTTGCTTTCCAGAAAGTCAAAGTCTGTAAGTTCACTTACTTGTCACTGATGCCTTTTTTGATTGTAACCGTACAGATGATTCCTTTCTAATAGAAGCGTGACGACTAGAATCAACGGAGTAGAACTGCCTACACAAAAATTCAGTCGGAAACGCATTTATGCCAACTATATCGATACAACCTTACTGGAAAGAAATGATAACAGGAACGCTTACATCGCCGCTCGTCGGCCTCAAACGTTACTTCTGCATGCAAAACTCTTAATGAGGCATACTTTCTTTAGCGTCAAGAGGCATGCAGTTCAGAAAGCCAACAAATTTTCATAAAAAAACTATTCTGAGCTGTTAATTGTAAATGGGAAAAGTAACCACAGAAGGGAAATTACGCCTCCTTGCTTTTCGTTACAAAGTAGTTCAAGAATCTTCATTGATCACATTGAACCACCGTACCACTTTTTTCCGATGAACAAATAAGTCTTTCACACAGCAGTGATAGTCTGTTAAAAATCAAATGAATAGGGACTAATTGTCATTTGATGGCATCAGGTTGCAAGCTCCCACTCGCCTTAGACAACCATTTAAGGGCGAGAACAGCTGTGAAGAACGTTTTAACCCTGCTGGTAAAACAGATCAGCGTCCGACTTTGAAAAATGATTACCCCAGCTCTTCATCTTTCGGCCAACCTAGTTGCACATTTATTGATTACGTTACCACTTGGAAGGTGGGAGCAAGTAATGAAGTGGTCAAGTATGGAAATTTGAGGAAGTGGCAGTTAGCAGCCAAGCACAATGCTCAACGCTAAATGGGGACTCCAGACACGGCGCTTTGCACAATTAATACTGGAAGTATCAGTTAGGTCGCTCAAAAGTATGTTATTCAAAGAATTTCAAAAGTGCACTTCAACCTGCATTGGAAGACCGAGGAGTTGTTCCCACGTCACCTGAAATCCCCTTACTTCATCACCCCAAAAATCCAAAAAGATAATACAATCTGTTACAGTCCTGTTTTTATTTAGGCACTATTTTTGAGAGGTCAAAAGGCCACTGATGTCAGTGACCCAAATTAGAAGTAGATTTTCGGAAGTATTTGCAAGAGTTAGCAGCGGAAAATTTCAGTGATCGTGTTTCATCCGCACTTAAGTAAAATCCTTGTTAGTCTATTCGTTCTACTAAGACGTAAGTCTCGTGAATGTTCCGGAATATGTTACGTCGCCTTCTTCTACTGCTTAAGAGCAAGGCGCCAACAGAAGTTTTTATATGGTTTTCTGGTATTCAGCAGCACCTTTAATGTCCTAAAACAAGCCACTATCTTGCTAGAATATTGCACAAACAGATTTACCGGTCACGACGTTTTTCGCAGGTTGGTGATATAAGCGTAGTGAGTAAAAATGAGTGTTTCAAGTTTTCAAACGAACCAACATCGGATTTTCCTAGAGCATGAACTGGTATACAAGAGAAAGATGTTGGTTATGCTATCTTTTTAGGCATGGAGAGATCGTGACCAAAATGGTTATCTTTGGAGAGACTGAACCGCTCAAGATTTTCTTGCAACAAGTGAATATCTTGGCATCTTTTTCACGAAAAAGTCTTTTTCTGTGGTCAGATTTTGGGTTCATTTTGATTATCTGGTAATCTCATGTCATCGCACTTATTGAGCCTTATTTATTTTATAAGGGCTGCACTGAGTAATGTTGCGTATGTGTTAATAAACGTGCTGCTAGCCGGGGCTGACCTTTGACCACGATTAGTTGTTCGGTCGAGTGGTCTCATTGGGTGCTCTGTCATTCTGTGTTCTGATTCTTTGATTCGTAGTATATTAACACACACGCAACACTACCCAATGCGCAGCCACCAAGGATTGCACTATTCATTCACTAAGCGCAGCAGGATTGACTCATTTCGGTAGAAAATCGCCTGTCCTAAGTCGATTGTCAAATATGAGCACAAACTCATCACCGATGCCTAAATCTTTGAAGCCCCTCTTGCATGATCTGCAAAGCTTCATTTACCTGATAGATACGCGTGAACCATATCTTTTGTCCAATCTTCACGATTCAGATGGGTACGTTTCACTAACCATTACTATCTGAATCTCACGTCACCACTTTTCTCACCAGGGAAACCCTATTCTGTACATTCATTTAAAATTTGTACTATTTTCAAAGATAGCAGAAGTTGCCTCACTAATTCTTGGTGAAGACTGAGCTGAAGGAAAGCGGTTTTCTGAAAGCACTTGAGTATCCATATTTTCATAAACTATCCAACCCTCAAATACTGTCTAACTGGCCGACCTAATAGCCACAGCCGCGCTTATATCAAGCTTTCCAACATGCGTGGGTTGGGATGTTTTCGCTCGAATCAAAACGATCAATATTGAGCCAAATATTATCCGTGATCTTCGTATTCTGTTTTCAATATGAAGCCTGCTACTCAGTACACATAGCATGGTCCACAGCCAAACTTGGTATCTGAACTTCTTGTGGCATTATGAGTGGAAAAACATCTACTGTCATACCATGGAACGTTTGTTTGCATTGGTTTTACAACATCCCTTAAAAGAGGCTGGTTAAAAATTGTTATTCGTCCTTGTTGAACAGTTTTGTTTCATCTATCTGTCTTATGGTAAAAGTTGTGATAAAGCTGAAGGTTGACACCATTTAGTAAACGAGACGAAGCTTTTAATAAATCAGTTCACGTCTTTGAAGTTACTGATACATGCACAAAAGCACTACATTGCCGATACTACTAAAATGACCTACGAACCCTGCTGGTCAACTATATTTTCATCTTGGAAGGTGAAACACATCGTTCGTTTTATCCACTGTGCTAAATGTGACCGGTCAGTGTGCTACCTCAGAAACAGTCGATCCTGGCCAAAAAACAGCTATTTGAACGCTCATGGTGTTTTTTCGTGCTTGTTTGTTACAACAAAAGTCTTTTTCATGCGCTCTCTCCAGTCGAATCGAATTAACCGTTTCGCTACAGTAAAGGCTTCCCTATGTCGCAGCCAATGAATCATTTGCAACTGACAGATTGCAATCAGGCGCGTTGACGGACATGTGGTTACCAATCTGTCTCGGCCCATGTAGCTGAGAAACAGCGGTTGCCTTGTTTGGATTACGCACCTGTCGACATCTGCAAGTGAAGAATAACCCACCTGCAGCACAACTACCATGATGCAATCGATTTTGTAAAAACGGTGATTTAGTGGAAAACATTCAACTGGCTACGTATGATATATACATACGGAACATGTTGTCGAGATAACTTAGCAGACTAAATTTAGCAACTGTGGTCTCGTAATGTTTAGCACTGGCTGAACAACATAACTTGTACTTACAACTTACATTTACTGGTTGTCAGGCCTGAGCGGAGTCTAGCTCTTTACAGTTTGCACTCATTTTTTTTGTCATCCTGTCTAGCTTCACCGTGAAAGTTCGATGAATATATCCGTGCGTACGTAGATTTAGATGGGCTTTAAATAATTTTTAAAAACAGCTTATCGGTAAGCAGTTGTAAGATCGCTACGTGGAGTAAAGTTGTTCGAAGATAATTAAACGTTTTCTCAAGTGACCATCGTCTTCGCATGTTAGCACTCGCCATGTCTGGAAAACCACGCCACTGGAGGCATACTGTGGACCTCCAAACGCGGAGTTTATCCGTTTGCTCACCGTTACCCATTCCGGACGGAGTATTTGTTAAGCTGGTATGTCCAGACTACCTAAGCCTTTTAATGACTTGAGCAGTAATGTGTAAGCTTGAGAATTCGTAATATCAAAGAAAAGTGTCTGACTCCGAAAGCTAACATTTTCGCAAAAGCGGGAGAGGAAAGTCAACAGAACAACACCGAGTCTAACGTGTATAATTTTTAGAGAGAAGAACTGATAGAACAGACGAGTGTTTGTTCTGGTAACAAGACATGAGCCAGCACTGAAGTTTCATCTGACTATGCCTAAAGTCCTTCAACTGGTTTTGTTGTTAATGGAATTCCTTGAAGCTGAGACTGCGAGTCATCCGTCGGCTTTTATAACAAAGGAAAAACCTAGTTCCTTGCACGTTAATTCTCACAAAGTGTAAATAAAAAGAACAAAACTATAATTTTCTTTTTCTCAACGTGTACCAATGAAGTTGCAACTGGATCAATTAAAACACATCACAAGGCAGGGCAATGTTCATTTGAATTAGGGTGTCCCGTTGCTAAAGGAGAAATATGAATGGTAAAATACGGTCGCATCGATTACCAGAAGTTGCATGTATCAAGATGCATCAAGATGCATCGGATAATTTTTCTGAGCAGTTCGCTCCAGTTTAGTGTATTTGCTTTCGCATCCGGCTATCGAAAACTAAAAGTGAACAAGGACTAACAGAAGACGAAATTCAGTTTAACATTTTGGTTATTCAACGCACAAGCCAAGCCATCTGGTAAAAGATCGCACCTTTCGGTTCTTAACGTCCAATACAGACGGAATAAGTCGATAATATCGTAAAACATTTTCACGTTAGACCGGAGCAGATAATAGTACTTTAAGACCTTGTGGGCTGTCATCGAAGTATGAATGACCACAGAATGTTTCATTCTACTAAATGCTGTCTTCCAAAGAAGTAGTGGAGTTGTCTAAGTTGCACCTAATTTAGTGGCGGAGTTCGATAGGAAAGGAAATTTAGCAATGGTGATCGCCAACGCGTTCGCCCGCATGCCTCGCAATCAGTCACCCATTTTTTGGATCACGAAGATAATATTTTTTGGTTGAGAGAAATATTTATGTGCGTTACTAAGTAAAGTAAGTATTTCATCCATTATAAAGTCTGTTGTCCATTTCCGATGCTCAAGGACAGGTGAGAAAACATCTGGTGTGATCAAACTTCTTTCATCGATTAATAGCCCCTGTCGAGCTACCATCCGACAACTGAGAATGGCAGTCAATCTTACCTGACTCTGAAATTATCCGCTTGAGAAAATCTAAGCCTTAAACCACCAGCTGCTGTTATTCTTGTTGTGCAGTCTTTTGGTTAACCTTGAGGCTTGATAATACCTCACATCCGTATTCACAGGGGTCACTTACATGTAAGGTGGTTGCAAAGATTTACCTATTGAAATGAGCCTAAAAAAGTTGGGCAATTAGTTGTATGTGGTTGTGAGGTTCGTAGAATTAGTTTTCACATCACTCTCGTTTGAAAAGTCATTCTCATGTCCTGGCGCAATCGTCTTGATGAGCCTAATCAACGGGGGAAGCGCCTGTCCCGTGTCGCTTTTATTAGTGTTCATCAGCAGTACCATGGTTTGAACTTGGAATTCTGACATGCGAAGCAATCACGTCTCCACTATTCCACCAATTCACGGTGCATCTTAATTTTCAAATCGGACCAGGTGAACCTGTTCATGTGTCGCGAAATTTATTCATTCCCCTTTCACTTGTTCAAGACGTGAAAAATCGGATGCGCCCAGTGTGCGCTGGTGGGTTTAGTGGTAACGTGCTCGCCTCGCTTGTCGGAAGTCCAGATTCAAACCCTGGCACCCCTAAGAACATGCGCTGTTAATGAGTTCTTATAGGAGAGGAACTCAATTCTAGTGCTTCCTTCCTTTGACAAAGACTCACTAGACTAATTGCATCAGGAAAAAACAATTGTGAGTGCGGTTTTCGGAGACATGTTTGTCCCATGGTCCCAATGCAATCACTCCATTAACTGTAGATGACCAGAATTCCCCCCTAGCACCAGTATCTCTCCTTGGCCAAATTCTACCTCAAATGTACTTGAGTAACTTCATTGCATTCAATAAATTGTCTTGAATGTAAATATTCGTACTCCATTCGATTTTCTTTCACAGCTATTTTCCGCTTTCTCTACCTACATGAAACCACCAATGTTTTCCGAATATCGTCGAGATTTGGAAGCGGCCGATTTACCATGTCTACCTTATTTGGGTTTGATTTTTCAACAACTGATTCACTTGCACGTGGGAAATCCTATATTTCTGGGTGAGAAAGAAGAATCTGAACAAAAATGCCCAACCATGGGACAAGAATCGGTGTACGGAAAAGGTCCTTTGGGTGTAATGGAGAGTGCAATATCCACAACAGAGAATATGATCAATGTTTGGCGGTGTTGGAAGCACTATCTTATTCTGGGTTACTTTATCAAACGCAGAGAGAATCCACAAACAAGGTAATGAATAATTGGAAGCGCGTATGTGGCGCTGTCGTAAGTGGTGGCATTTTTTAAATGAAAATCCAGACTGTCAGTCTGTACTTTCGACCGATAATATATAGATAATGAAAAATAAATGAAATACTAGATGACGTACATTTACTTAGAGGAAGTTACAGTCACTTTCTTGGTTTCGGATGAATGCCAGTATCTGACCCCTTGTGAAAGTTATACGAGCGAATAACTGATGACGCTGGCATGCTTCAACTGTCATTAAGTTGTGCAGAGGTCAATCTCGAATTAGAGTGATCATCTACCTTATGGGATGGCGTTCGCGGTCATATAACGGGTAGGATACTCATTTGGCAGGCGGATTGTCGCGGATACGGGACCCACTAGGGTTCAGGTCAATATAATCTTGGTTCCTTGGATGGCAGTGCGATTTTTCAGGTAATCCAATTGAGAAAATTACCACCGTTCCCTTTCCTTGTCGCCAAGGATTTGTACCGGGTAAAAAATTGACCTCGTACTCTAATGGCACCTGTTTGTTGCTTTATTAACCTTTGTAGGTCCGTAAAGAGAGAGCTGCTGAAATAACACGTATACTATGCATTTATATGTATGTAGATTTGCCTTCCGGAAGGGACTCAATTAAACCCAGCTGAATATTTTTTTATCAAGAAGAACGTGCTAACCGAAGATTCAACTGGATTTCAGGGAAGCTTCCGGTAAAAAGCAATTCAGTAAACAGTTGAGTGTATCGGTCTAATTTTGGGCAACTCAAGTTTTTAGTTGAACACAGGGTTGACCGAGATCCAGATGTTGTGCCTATTTAGTGAGCCCCATGAAGAAAAAAATCTGTCGTGGGTTGTCAAACAGTTTTCAACAAACTTGTGAATAGCGTATGGCGTCCACAAAATATGTACTGTTTAAGATAGCTTCGTGTTATTCGTTTCACAAATCAGCTTGGCACCATAGTTACCCAGGCTGCTGACTGCATACTTTCAATTGGTGTTTCGTTCCGCAGAGTGCATGATAAATAAGAGCCAATAGATTGGAATATACCTGAAAACGGGATTAATATCACCGAATGTGGTTAGTTCTGCAATTCACCTACACAACATTTTCCACTTGATGATATTTTATTTTGTGATGGCCCGAGCTTTTTTCCGTGTGTTGCACCTAAATGGGCAGCCCAGGTTAGCAGAAAACTGACCGTGAACAATAACTGGCACCGAAATAACTTCCGCCCCGGCCATCCAAAAAAGGGCCGACCCCAAATTATTTACAGTGTGAAAATAAGTGTTTCATACTAGTGTGCCTAGCATGTAAATCGAAAATGATATTCAGTTTACTAAAAAGTTTGACTTGACTATGCAGTTTGGAAAACAGTGAGGTATATTTGACTGGTTGCAGCTACCGTTGAGGGAAGTACTTCATGCAAACTAGACTGTGCACCTTTCTCTAGAAAGCAATCTTCATATGCCTAAAAATAAACACTCCGTCTATTCCTGACAACTTACTGAACACATCATAATTAACCGGTAGAACGGCAAAAATAAATAGGCTGACCTCGTGGTTAGGGGAGGACGCAGCCCTAATGCTCCAATCTAATGCCGAGAAAAGATTATGAACTGACCCGACTTGGATTGCTTCCACTCATTTTGGCCATTCTGTTCGATGGCTGCTTTTAATTTCACTGCCAACCGCTTTTACATGTACGTAACTTATAATCAATAGAGATATTGTCCCGTATGTGCTGAAAAACTGAGAAGCACTGTACAGTCATTTTCGATTTATTGCGAGTCACCGGCAATGCATATTTCAAGAAACTCAAGTAGGGAGGCTTGAATCGCTTGGCTAGTAATTTGAAGGCTTAATCGTTCGGCCACGATCAGCTAATCGGAAATGTGACTTGAGTTTCCTGGAGTTTCTTGACTGTACACTTCTAATGATTTTCAAAAAGAGAAATCTAGCTATGCTCAGTGCTTCTTGAGCATAGATTAGCTTAACCTATAGGATAAAATCTGAAAAGTCTCAATCCCGCTCGCACTACCAACATCTTAAAATTCTCAACTTTGTTTGTTGTTCAATGATGTGGTCCTAATGCTTATCAGTTATCGCCATTGTTTGCTGTTGATAATACAAGACTTGTGATAAATCTATTTTTGCACAACTCTTTTAAACATGTGAAAATGTTTCACTGCAACCCTTCACAATCTTCCGTCACAGGGATAATAGAAGTGCTAGTAACCAAATGAACTAGTTTGGAGGCTAGAAGAAAAGAATTTATTTCGCTCAGTGGATTTGATGATCACTCAAGTTTACCTAAAGCTTTAGAGTGATTGTGAACTTTGACACGCTTGTCTGCGCGTGAACCCACTGAATGTCTAAGCTGATTTGTTCACTGGATGTTGATCAGACTTTTCAAAGTAGGCTTGCGGGTCGTCATTTAGCGCGTCGTCTTACGATCTGCCATTATTAACAAATTTTTCTCTATTTTATCTTCTTCAGCCGTCACAAACTGCTCAAAAACACCTCTATTCAAGATATTTTGAACAACTTCGAAGATGGCGTTCCGGATGCTGTCCTGGATCAAGCAAAAGAACAACTCATTCACCCCGCAAAAACAAAACGTGCGAGACAGAACAGACTGACATCGTGAGGTGACTGAACACGCAAATATGTACACATCAATGGTACCCTCTATGCACACAAAATTGCCACATTCTGTCTAATCAGGTTTTTTCACTTCTATTGATCGACAATAAAACGTCCATCTGGCCCTCCACTCACTAATTCATAGTATTTGTTGCAATTGCTTGCGTTTCTTTAAAATGGCCACCAAATGTGACCGACAAACTTGTTGAATTTTTGTTCGGATCCTCAGAAAGACCTGTCGTGTCATAGATCTCCTGTTTGTGTTATTAAGGAAGAACAATTCTTACGGCTCGACACATCAACAGTAATCAAAAACATAGCCCTTAGTTCCCGAAATAAACTTATCTGCACACCGAGGTGGTTGTAATGGATGATCCAGCTGAAACTCAGCCCAGTTACCTAAGTGTACTGCACAATGGCCACCTCATGCTTCACTTGATAGGAAATTTGAGAAATCTCCGTATTTTTCTGCAATGGAAATGCTTGCCAGCCTGATAGAAACTGTTTGCAGCCCACGACACTTCTTACCCCTCTTGGGGCTTATCAAGTAGGCGAGGCCCTCGAGTTTCCGTCAACCTTATTTATGTTCTACGTGAGCCCAAATTGCACGAAGTTAGCGAAATACACTCATTTTTAAACCAATTTGGCTTTGCGAGAGAATTACCTGGAATCCAACTGGATCTCTCCATCATGATGTTTTTAAGCAACTAAATGTGCTGCACTGGGTGGTTTGATATTTGGGATATCGCGATACATGTATAGATTTAATACACCATTCATAAAAAATCATACACGAGAGATTCAGTTGGGTTCCAGGTGAGTCTACCACAAAACCACCTGGTGTTCAAACGAGTGTATTTCGCTAAATTTTTGCAGTTTTGGTTCAAGCATAACATAAAAGTGACGGAAGCTCGGGGAATGCGCCTAGACGCCCCAAGAAGGGCGAAACCTGTCGTGGATTGTCGAAGATTTTTCAGCAGCCTTATGAGTGGTGTAACGTGCCTACACATGTATCGCGATATCTCGAATATCATGCCAAATGAAACGTGAGGCACCTTGGCTCGTCCGAAGTACCACGACACCTTTGTGCCTCTTAGCTCAGCTCACTTTTTCCGTTGTAGAGTTGGACTCTACATTAGCAGCACTTTTGAGATATTACAACTATTAATCATCAGTTGCCTTACGCTATTCTGTAATGATAATCAAAATGGTTTCATTCAAATGGCTTCCTATCCCATAATACGCCAGATATCCCTACGGCTCACCTCATGCACAGGCTTGCTGGCCGAATTGAGAATGGGGGTATTTCCCACTAAATGTCCGACAAGGTCGTTAGTCCCCACACAGAGAACTGGCCATGTCACGGAAGCGCTGATAAAAACGCCCTCGAAATTCAGAAGGATAACCTGTAGTTTGGGGCAGGAATTCTGCTCAGGTGTGATTCACTTCATAGATATACAGCTGAACCAAAGTACACCTACATGGGGTCGCAAACGGGGACGCGCATATCATACTTTGTTTCAGGTGACGGCTGGCAGTTGATACAATTCCTTAGCAGACCACGTTAAAATATCCACCTAGGACACTATGCAACAGTCTGAAGGGTGATCGTTGTAAAACTAACTTTCCGATTCACAAATCATGAATAAACTGACCTCCTTAACTCACTTCTACGGACCGAAATAAACGGTTGTGAAAAAAATGTTAGGCAAAGCTTTTATTTAGAACCACAACTATTTACGAAGTGTTTTTCGCTCGTGTGCTCGTGCTTTTATTTAATGCGACCTCTCCAATTGCGAAGAATTTCTCCAATTCTCATGAGAATTTGTAGGACAGACGGATATAAAATTGAAAAATACACCTTAACTTGGGCTATTCGTTGGTGGGGATCCCCGTATTCGCAGGTTCTCCCGTATTGGCAAAATATTCCTTGGTATTAACAACTCACTCGCTGTTTTGTGATTTTTACGACTAGAGACCGGGACGCCACCAACAGACAGTAATTTCCCAACTTGAATGATTGCTTGATACTTCTTTTACATTCCTGTACATTCTTGACACTGCCAGAGTGCGCTTCTTGTCAGAATTAGGCGTGAATTTTCTGATTTTTGGTCTATCTGCGTGAATCGCTCGTCAGTATTACTGCCGACTTAATTTGGCCATATGAGGGTATTGTCACTAAATCAGTTGAACCAACCACGACAGTAGATAAGTCTGGGCTCATACCAGCCAGACGGTAGATATTGAACGGAGGTTATTCCAAAAAATAAAGCAATTTTTACAGTCTGATTATTGCTTTAGCTTTTCGAATCTGTGCATTGTTCTGGACATGTTTTTGGACGGTTCGTTTGGGGTGATGCGCTCAATCGCCCATAGAGTTACCAGTCACCAGTTGTTATTACGGCAACACGTTTTTCTTTTTTTATTTTTATTCTTTTTTATTTTTTATTTTTTATTCTATTTTTTTATTCTTTCTTTTTATTTATTCTTTATTCTTTTATTCTCTTTATTCTTTGTGAATGTCGCTTGGATCCAACCTATTAGGCAGTTAACCCCCTGCTTAACTCTGATTAACAAAGTCACGGATTTATCTGTAGATTGACACTACTATTTGTTTACAGAAACGTAACAACAGCCCACGGATCTAGTTTCTACCCGATAACCGATGTTTTGAACAGTCCACCTGGATCAACGCTGTAAACAAACTGTCTGCAAGACAACTTTTTTTCAGAACTATGGCTCGTTTATAATTCATGCACATCACGCTGGTAACAAAAGTAGGTGGACATTCTGCATCACCAAAAGTTCACTTGTTGTTGAGTTCGAAAACCAAAAAAACAGCTGTTCCTTAGAATTCATACGGGGATGTAAAAGCAAATCGGAGCTACGTCAGGCAGAAATTTACAAGTATACTAATTTTGCTTTCTTTGTAGACAAAGTGCAATTGATCAAACATGCATTTGATCCAAATATATCTGAGCTTCACAGTTTTATCTCAACTTTAGTGCAAAACTTTGAGCCAATAGTATAAACTAACCGTCCTAAGCACACACTTATCACACCGTGATATCCGATATGTTTTCAGTTTGTTCAGCCCCGGGTTGGAAAATCATGCAGTTTCAAAAATTAAACTCAATTTATTTCGCCAGCGTAATTTTATTCGTGTTGGCTTACTTTCCTAACGTCACTTGTTGATGTGCATGACTGCGCTGTAGACTGTTCTTAAAGTTACTCACTTGAGCTTCAGTCTATTGTTTTTCAACTCATGTAGCCAAATGAATTATGCAAGTAGTAACTCAAACTCAGAAGGAGAACTCAGAAGTAGATTTTATCCAGAAGTCATGATAACAATATGCCCGTTGAGCTGAATCATCTCTATCTCCAACATTTCCCGGAAGTGGATCACGATCAGCTGTGGGACATTCTTCAGCTTCCTTCATCCTATGATTAGGGGAGAAGAAGTTAATTGTTCTACCATCTTGATACAATCATTTGGACGCACTGAACTACTCAGCACGGATGTGCGTGGCATCTAACTTGCTTCAGAATGTAGCAGCTTTGTTTCTCCCGTACTCATTGGTCTTGACATCGCATCTGCATAATGAAAGCTTGGTCAAGAAATGATCTAGAAACGTCTTGCAATCGATTCTGTTCCGCTACCCCTCGAATTTACTTATCATTGACAGTCAATGTGCCACTTTTTGTCCCCTGTGAAAAATAACAGGAATGCACCATGTTACACATGTGGATGATAGACAAGGGTCGAGTCTCACAAATGACATTCAAAGCATTAACTGATCTGGTGTGATGTGCCCGCGTAGAATTTGCAGAACACCGGTTGTTCAAATTCAGACAACCTATGTTCCAATCACGTACACCCCACTAATGTTTGGATCCACGGCTAGGTTTAATTTCTCAATGACGAAGTCATTCGCTACGGCACCCATTAAGTTTTTTTACCCATTTCGAATGGAAGCAGGAAACCAACTCATACTACGAAATGGTTTTCAAGCTGTCACCAAGTTTATGAGAGAGGAACTGTTAAGCCAAATATGGAGAAATGAACAGCAAGTCTTGTGTTTCCATTTACATTGGACTTTCAAGATAATTTTCAACTACCCAGCCAGAAGCTGATCGACTGAGCCATTCCTTTCTCGCCACATGTGAATCATATTAGGTCAAACGGTTCACATTTCTGATTATCTAGAAAGTGGCGACTGTGAACTGGCATAATTGGTAAACGTGACATCACGGTCAGGGTTGCCACTTACTCGAAGAATTTCGGATACATATAACCTGTTGATTACATACGAATGAAAGCATATCAGCTGACTTGACCACGTCCACTGATTATGATATCTTGTTTCCGGGCTTCGAATTAAATCCAACTAAAAGTAAGGCCTCCAAACACCAAAAATTGGATGTCATAGTAAACTAAAAACATTTTACGCTTATGTGAAGCATTTTTAAATCCGTATATAGGTCCCCATTCTACGAAAAATTATTTTTTTGAAAACTTTTCAACCCAATGTTTAAAAAGATTTTGATTGTTTCAATAAGTGTGGTCTAATTACTCTAAGCAGGATAGTGCTCCTAGTACGGTTGTTTCCCCACTTTTTCGTCTACCTTGAATCAACCCCTATTTTTCACGTTCTTCGGTAGCTCTGCAGTTCACAATCAGACTCGTTTCACACGGAGCGATGAGGTCCGAGGGAGCTTAGGTTCTGGAGGCGCGCATGCTGGATCACTCACAAGATCCACTGAAAGCTGCGGATCTCAGACCACAGAGTCAGACAAATGCAACCAACAAAGCCAATTTGTACGGTTTTATTCTCGCTCTGACAAGCCACACAAGCAGCTTTTTCTTTTGTTTTCACATACTTTTCCCACTTGTTTATGAGTCTGTTGTAGAGTATCATTACACATAAAGTCTGCAAGTGTCAAAGTCATAAAAATTGCCCTGCGATTCTTTTTCGCGTACACAACTGATTCACTTCAATATACTGAAAACAAATAATTAGAAGAGAACTTCCGACTCAGACCAGATGGATTATTAGTCAGTCAAATAAGAACAAAGAATTGACAAAACTTTTACTATACTGAGAATGCTAAGCCAACTTTCTGTAAAATGATACATTCTTTGTTTTTCTGAATATGACCGGATTCTGTCAAACCAAGAGAAAAAAAATCACTTTCCGGAACTCCAACTCCACATGCAGTTTGAATTCAACTAGTCATCTGTTTACAGGGAAGATCGAACATCACTGAAAGTGTAAGATCACAAGAAGTAAACTGGATCCCCGGTAGTTCTTTGTTACTAAGCTGGGGACGAAGCCATTGTTCTGCCAACAAAAACATCATTTGCTAGGCACTATCCAATTAGACTACGCAAAATCATCATTGAGCGTAAAACAGGATAACTAATGTGGATCCTGTATATCCCCTGCCTTTATCGGAAGGGAGGCCGTTGGACAGGCGCCAATAAAACAAATTGGTACATAACAAAAGCCCATACTCATTTTTGCCAAACGAAATGTCATCTAGCATCCATAAAATTGTACCACTGAAAAAAACTTCGGTAATGGCAAACAAACGTGGATGTGGAAAATGTTTGAGAACAAACGTGGTGAAAATTGGGGGCAAGTAAGAAGTCCTAAAAAGGAATGATTTCATTTATGGCCTCAGTTCTCTTGCTTTCCATCGCGGAAACGATACTTTTTCGACCAACCTCTAGTCTCTCCGTTGTAAATTAAGCATAGGTTTTTCAACACTGGCAACTCTTCTGGTAACTTGGTCTCGCAATGTAATAGCAAGCTTTCTTGCATGAAAAAGAAATTATCCCACTGTGCCGACAAATTCACTTTTTTTTATAAAAAACCCCTGTTGTGGGTTGCCTGTAATAAAACGCGCTTGAAATCATACTAGTAATTATAATTGATAGTGGACGCATACTTTGTTCATTCCCTCTTTAAGATGAAAGTTGGCCAGCATTTTGTAACAGTATAAGTACAGTTTGAATAAGCCTATAATTAGCGCTGAGCATGTCCCACAAGTCTACACAAGTCTACAGTAGATTATAGTCGCTGCAACCTCAGTGGTGCTCTCCCTCTCTCTCTCTCACTTTTTTCAAGCTTTTAAAGCTTGTCACGCGAAAAGTTTGTTTAACGTTTCCAAACAAACGCCACCCTAAAACACCTCTTCCGTAGGCACTTAATTTTCACTTCATTTGCGCGAAATCTGACCGTAAATAAACCGCGTTTTATCAAATTCCCAAGGGAGACATTGTCTCCGGATTTGGCTGTGAAACCTAACACGTTTTCGTGTATTCGGAAAGTTGCTCACAACATGAATTTTTGTAGTCCATGTAGTTTATTGTAGTATTTTCCCGTGAAAATTGTTGTTCTGCAGAGAACGTCTTGTATTTCATAAATCTTTGCGTCACTGTACGTGGCATGCGCGGGCGTCAACAACGGCATATTTCCGCCTTTAGTGAAGGGTAAAATTGTAATTCAGCGGCCGTTGTAAACATTAACTGTAGCAAATGTTTTGCGTCCGAAAGTTAGCCAACCCATGGACGATGAAAGCCCGGAGAATAAACACTTCCGTCTAGGGAAAATCTTTTCAAAAATGAATTTTATTTCTATCGTAATAAGCCCTCGGCGAAAAAACCGTCTCATGACCAATAGGGGGACCATTTAAAGTTCCAAATAACCGAGTTTGTTCCTAACAGGCAATAAGAGAATTTAAAGACCCTATGTTACTGGTCATGATTTGTTTAGTTGTTCCAACGAAGGAGCAGACAACGCGACTGCACGGGTGTAGGTGCTTTGCACAACATCTTTTTACCTGGCATGATTCGAGCCCGGAAAGTAAGTAAAACACAACCTCGATCAAGCCCCAGCAACACATAAGCAGGACCGCGATCCCTACAAATAAGGTGGTTATGCTGTCCTAGGCAAAGCACGACCTTACCAAAAACTGCCGGATCTTTTCCAGATAAGCTGCAACAAAAAATTGACCCCCGCCACCCAAAAAAGTTTGAAAAAGAGAGGATATGCAACTGGTACTTTTGGTTTTTATTGAAAAGGGTGAAAGTGGGACACGTCATGAATAATTTGCATGAAAAGTTTCGTTTTTCGGTACCTTTGCCTCCAAACAAACTCACACAAGTAGCAGTCCACTAAAGATCGGTGTGTGCCGCATTGACGTTTATTCTTCATCTTGCAGAAGTGGTAAAGAGATTCGATGGTTTATGTGTGAGCTTCAGTCGTTGGATTCACAAAGTCTTCGGTAGGATTAACCGTTTCATGAGTATAGTTTGTCAATCATAGTTTCATTTCCTTGGTATAATGCCCGCGTATCGGAGGCGATGATTGAGCTGGGAGCGATGCGCGTCCATCAAAGTGGCCGCAATTCGATCTGGTACTGCATACATGAACATCTTTCTAGTATCCCAGCAGATCCCCCCGGAAAACCACTGCTGGGGAAGGACTCGCCCTGTGTGGTTTTTATGGCAAGATATTAGTGTTTCATCGATCTCGACATGTAGAATGGGCCACCGATAACTGCTAGAATCTGCAAAAGCCGCCAGGCGCAAACTTCGCGAAGAGTGTTCTTCCAGTCATCAGGGGTCGTGTGGCTAATAGATAATTCCTCTGAGCACGATTTGATTTTCGCCAAATTTTTTGGACCGGTAATAAATGAATAGAATTACTGTCCTAAACTCCATCCCAGACTGCTCCAGCCGAGTTCCCTTTCGAAGACTGATTTCTAGCTGACACTGTCGGGCGTTAAACCTCCACCTGTCAGAAACAGTTGGAAGTGTCCGGACAGAGAAAATTTTTGCACAAAATGAGTCTAGATGCGGATGAGGGATTGTTTTCATCAAAAATAGGTCAAGGTTGTGTGCGTACATTAAATTGAAGCAAGCAAAAGGTGTCGGGGCATAACTTTTCGCACATGCACTTTTTGCATTGGTGGCGAGGTTTATCTGGAGAAGATCCAAACTGTCTTCTGTTTAAAGATAATGTTCCGTAGAAAGTCGGTTTGGCAGGCTGTCTTCTCTTTTTTGGATGTTGACAGTCATTTTTTGGCTTTCCTTGCCTAATGACGCATCGTACGCACTTCGCATCAAAATAACCGTTGTGAAATCAGTGTTTGCTGTTTATCGTCTTGAAGTCCTGTCGTTGATGTTGTTAGGTGATGTACCTCGCCACGAGTGTACGCTTACATAGGTATTCGTTTCATTAAATATGAATATTGCGTAACCTTGTTTCTCCAAGAAATGTCCCAATAAAAAGAATGTGTCCTAGTGTACGGTATTTAGATTGCCTCACTGACCACTAAATTGTAGCTTACCAGAAAACCTGCCATCCATAATGTGTAATTTCAAAATCCAAGTGAACTTTTCCGGAAACTCCCATTTATAATAAGAACACAGATGGGTTGACGAACATGTGTTCGGCAAGGTCTTTTCAAGTCATATAATTGCAAAGGTTAAGAGAGCAGTCTTTAACATATTTGAATGAGTATGGTGTAAATGGACAGGAAATCGAGTGAGACGACATTGGCTACCTATCAAAGAACAATTAGTTCAGGTCACCGATAGGATGACTTGAGCTAGTCAGCGCGTGGGGTGCTGTAGTTCTGTGTTCAGCAGAAGGTGCATTTGTGAGGGGAGGTGAGTTGTAACTTTCTTGACCGGACGGCTAGGCGTTCAAACCCCTACCTGGAAAACCACGGGTTTGAATCTCTCTAGTGACTCTTGGGGTGCGCAATAATGGTGATTTCAAGTGAGAACGAAATAGCTGCACTGTGCTTCGCGGCTTTTTAACAAAGATGATCTTCGTCTGCTGCTGCGTTTAGCCTAAACCGGTATTATGGCCGTCCTCGTATCTCATGAGCTTACTATGCATTAAATCAAAGTGTCCACAGATTGGTGAGGGAATTTTCGAACGAAACTGTGAGCTCTCCAAATTTAAAAAGTGTGGAGAGCCTAGAAAACGGTTGGAGTCAATAGTATCTTGCCCAGTTTGTCTGATAAATAAATGCATGTGAGGTATGTAATGTGGTCCTCTTTTGTATACGATCCTATCAAGGTTATATCATTTTTCCTGAAGTTCACGGTTTTCCCACAAGCTGTTGATTTCAGTTCACATTTTCTCAACAGCAGCTTGACGGTGTCTAGCAGGTACGTAACCACATATCTAAAAGCTCCGTCCAGATTGCATTTACAACATGTGAAAAGGAGGCTGCGTCTGCTTTTTTCAACTGAAGAACCCACACAACACACTAAATCTTTATTGATTCCACCTGTTTCACCATATTCAGAGTTTTTTCTTGTGAATCCTACTGTGCGCAATTTGTAGAAACCAGTTTAAACCACAGGTTAGTTATGGGCGATCTAATATGTTGCTGTCTAGGTTATACGACAATGCTTGCGATGTGGCGATGGAATATGGACGAGGTTCGCAGTAGTGATCTGGTTTTTTCCTGCTGAAATTACCGGGTGATTTGAAACTTCTAACATTGATTGGCTTAAATAACTTCCGCACGTTTAAACTCACCTCATTAGGTCAGATGTATCCGTGCTTTTTAGATACTAGTCACCTCCACTTACTACTTCAATAAAAAAGTCGTTGCATAGATCGACCTAATTCAAGGAATTCCTTAAGAAAGCTTCAGACTGCAAACGTTTGGAATGTTACGCTTGCATCTTTTTCAGCTGGACGTGTGTTATATAATCATACTATTTTTCTAGATTCGAATCGTTGAAATGAATTTTGAAATCAACTGTTTTTCAAGTTAAACTGACCTGAATGTCAGAAAATTGCAACATGATTACATGGGCACTTATGGATCCGATCGCGTGCCCACAACCGACCCTAAACTCATTCAGTTTTTTTCTCTTACTGTTATGGTCGGATCCTGTAAACTCGGAAACACGCGTTCTGTTCGATACCTGTCCTATCAAAATCGAAGAAGGGATCTTGAGCAGCCAAGAGTTTTGGGATGCGCATGACTTGTCACCCTTGATTAAGACTATCCGTCAGTGATATTAACAGTCTTATTTAGGTTCAGCAACCACCATCAAAAACCAACAGCAAACAAATGGCTGTGCTGCGTGATCTACAAGAGGCAAGGTTTTTGAACAAAAAACGTTACCACTCAAAGAAGAATACATACAGTACCTTCACTTTAGAAATCGGGACGGATGACAACCACTGCTGTAAGCTTCTCGGTATCGGATCTGAAAAGCAGACTGCGCAATGTAAAATGTGAGGCGAGTGAGAACTCCGAAGTTGGACAGACATGCCATTATATTTGTGAAGACTTGATACCAACCCAAACATGCTAAAGTAACTTTTCCTTACAATAACTGTCACGAGGGTTCTTGACAGAAACGGTGGGTGCATTGGATAGTGAAACCATAGGGTTGAGTGCATGATAGGACGGAAACTATTAGCCAATAGGGCCCTTGAACTAAACAATCGGAAGCCAGGGAACCGAGGAAGAGAAGCCGTACAAGGCAGACAAACTCTGAACGGATTGCTACGTTATGATAAGAACGCGCTGACAGAACTCTCGGGTGAATGCGACTGAGCACCAACGTGTGTTTGTGCACTGCAACATTACGGAAAAGCTGAGGTGTGACCTCTCACTCATGGTTGCCTGGAAATCACAGTGAATCGAGCTCATGAAAACAATCCTAGCGATTTCGCCAAATGTTGTAGCAAAATAAAGGTCTTAGGTATCACCGGTTTGTCGGATAACATGATAGACATCCCACAATGCTATGATATCCACTCCGTCAGAGCCTCCAACACGGATGATATACCGTAGAGAGGCACTAATCGCACTGTCCACAGAAGAACGACAGCTGTATTTTTATTTCTAAAACTCTCGTGGGTCATAAAACCAACAGATGGCAAACTCATGTCTCCCAAAACTTGTGCTCCATTTACAGGGTTATGCAGTGACTGCATTCCGCTGCAGGTGGAAGAAAAAACTTATCGGCACATCATTGCAGCTGCATCTGAACCCGGAAGAAAGACGGTGAAAGAGAACCAGGATAGTGTTGACTGATGAACGCCAAAAAACTAGAAAGATCTAATTGTCGTAGATCTGGCTGATCGATGTGATGTACCTATATCTAGGAGAACCATACCTCGATAAAAGGATTATAGTAGTTCATGAGCAAAATACTCCGTATCCCACATCATACTGCAGCCGCTTTCGAGTGTGACTGCCCAGAAAACGGTCGGCTGGGAATCATCGCAAAGCGATCTTGGTTGTTTTTTTGCCATACCATTCAAAAATACGCCGTTAGGCAAGTGCAGCTTACAAATTACCATCCATTTTATGTTGCGCGCAGCAAACTGTACGCAACCAGCGGAATTCGCCCAGTTGCAAGTTTTGCTTGTGTCAACTGAATTATTATTTCCGGTAATTTACTTTTCAACTTGTGAGGAACTAAGACATGATCAAGTTGACACAATTTGAATGTGACAGGCAACAACACAAGAGAGAAGAGAAGGCGACATTTTGGGGACGTGTTTATCACGTGATAAAAATTATAAATTTCGGAAGAGAAAGCACTAGAACAGTTAGACCGGATAGGCACCAGCACTCTATTAATAGATTCAACCGAAATGAACTAGATCCGGAAACCGTTACTGACACTGGGTGACCCTCAACAGTTGAGTTAATAGCCTGAACTATAGAAGTCGTGACTAAGTGGGGATGTTCGCCGTATACAGAGTCGGTCACACGCATCTCGCAATAACGGTGTATAGTGAAGCTGTTTAAACGCCCCGGTTTCGTTTCTGAAAAGCAATAAAATATAAAGTTACTTTGAGTTTGTGAAATT